AAAAAAAATTGTGCATTCAACAATTATGTCGATTGATCCAAAAATAAGGGCGACTTTTTATCTAAGTTGGAAAGTGTATCCATACTATACCAACGTTGAAGCAACTACAAGCAGGACTTTCTGCTGCCAAGGCAGAAATAGCCCAACTCCAGCAACAAATGCCTCTCTTAGTGAGCGTCTAGCTTAGGTTTCCCATGCCACTGACCTACCCACTGCCATCCGTCATCAACCCTCCCAAAAAAAAGCTTCCACTCCAGCTCCCCAGCTCCCTTCACCAACCAAGACCCCAAGGCCGAATACCATGAAATCCCTTCCAAGCCAAGCCAAGCTGCTGCTGCTCATACATTCAGCCCTCCTTCTTCAAACCAAGGTTTTAAATACCTTTATGTTCCTGTCCAGCGCCGTATCCCTATTAGCCAACTACGTAGCCGACTACGACGTCTGCATATCAATAACAGCCGTGTTCTCGATATACACTTTCCCGACCGTCACCTTGTTGCTCTACTTATCCATAATGACTATGAGTCTAAGCTCTTCTCACAGCTAAATAGGTTTATAATCACCGTTCGCAATGAGTATGATCCCCTTGATCCCGCAAATTTGCGTGATCCAGCGTGCTCAAAGTGGAGTCACCAAGGCAAGGTCAACTATGCCTTTGGTACTTTTGCAGATCGTCTAATTCGTGCTATTCGACGTATTAGGGCTCCTGCTCAACGTGCCGTTGCACGTTTCTTTATTGAGAAAGGCTTTTTTTTTTTTTTTGGCACCGAAGCATTTCCTGAAATTTTCGATTGCAATTGATTGTGTCCTCATCTTTTCGCCAGTACGTTTTTTACCCTTGATATAACAAACGTGAACAGTGACAACAAAAATAACCACAGTAGCAAAGGCCGTGCTGGAGAAAAACGGAAATTAGGCGGAAATATTGTGCCATTTTGCAAGGGTATATTACTACACATAATGAAGTTGATAGCAACTAGTGATAATCCATCCAATGCTAAATGCTACAATTATGAATTCATCACAGCCGAAGCCCAATGCGAACTGATGGAAGAATTCTTCCCGAATCTTCAGCAATACTGTACGATAGACCGATTACAATACTGGGTTGGTCAATCAAATATCTGGGGACCACGCAAAAGAAAGACAACGAATGGCCAAACGAAATACGGTCGACATTTGTGGATTGTGTGCAAGGAGATGAAGGAACTCTTGGTTGAATCGACAGATTCAATTTCAGCGTATTGGGACCATCTCAAGAACGAGGTTAGTTTTATCACTATTGGTTATGCTAGAAAATCTCTAACCAAAGAAAATGTTGCATCGGGAACGCGACATCTGTAACTCATGGTTGACAAGCAGTATTTTCGAATGAAGTGTGAGGAATTGTGCTGCTTTGCCAATGAATCGGTTATGGAACGTGATTCCCCTGCATCAGATCAGTTGTTTTCAGTCATCAAAGGTTGCAATGGTGGCATTACAGATTTGACGAAGTGCATCTATTACGTTCAAAAACATAAATGTCTGATTATATGAAGCCAAAGTCCTGAGTTCGAATCTCACGGAACCACTCTCAGTAACTTGCTCTTAAAGGTGAAATCTATGGAATATAATGCGACTTTATGATACAGTTACATTCTATTACTTATTTACTCATGTATGTTTATTTCTCTTTTCTTTTCCTTGGTTAATTTTTAACTTCTAAAGAGATACCTAAGGACTAGAAAAAGTAATGTTTCTTATTATAAATATCAATACATTTTATTAACCATATATCATAAATAAAGCTGTCGACCCTCAACGTAATTAACCCAAATTTCGAATATTATTAGTCACATTATATCAAGGATTTTGATGCCGCTTTCTATGGTCCTCAGTTGCTGGTCGTTGAAATAAACAAATTATGAATAATTGCGATACCCGCCCAGGTTGAAATAAGCATGAACCCTAACACCACCAAGTCATAGCCTACTAATTATAATGATTAGTTTATCTCCCTCTACTCACCCTCCATTAGATTGTATGCTTTCCCCCTCCACCACCAGTATCTTCTCATCCCTACCACATTATACATTCCACTTTGCTGAACTTGCCCGGACAATTTCAGTATAAAAATACTACGTGCCCACTTGGGTTTAATAAAAGATTGTTTAACCATACCAGAAATAATATTGGACCAAAAGCTCATTTTCAAAAAATCTATTGCTTTTTACCGGTGATAATTTACCATAAATGGAAATCATGTAGGTGATGTTTAATGGCTCTCTTTTTCAATCAAAAAGCTGAATACAACAGTAGGCTTTATGGGCCTCGTAAAAGGGTATGATGCTTTATTGAATATAAACAAAATTTATGAAGTACAGAATGAGTATAGTAGCTAAAGGCCCTTTGGATCCACATCACAATATCTTGAACTGCAGTTACTATGGAACATCATGATCAGGGCAGACAGCACAACTTCTTTATCGTACGTCAACAAGCAAGAAGGAACGTGGCCGTACAGCATAATGATATTAGCAACGTAAATTTGGAGAGAATGTCTACATCAAAAGCTTATGATTCAAGAACAACATAGTCCTGGCATAGAAAATATAATAACAGATTACGAGTCACGTCAACCCGGCAATAAGTACCAGTGGTAGATACATCAGCAACTGTTTATACAGTCGATCGAGAAACCGTGCGGGCCGTACAATGCAACTCCTGTCAATGTACGTGTCTTGCTGAGCAAACTCGGATCGACAGTGATAGATGTTCTGTCGATTCCACGGACGACGTTTCAGAATCCGTTATGAACCCTTCGTAGAATTTACTCCTGCGTTGTCTAGCCGTGGCCCTTTAAAGATGCCTACCAGTAGCAACCATTGTAGGTTCTTAATGGTCCAGTGCTCTCTAGTGACCTCCTTCTCTGTTCAATAACAACTGCGTCACCTCTAAGGGATCACCAGCCTTTCCATATGCCCATCGTACTTCTCTCTTTGTTCACTCTTTACGACTTGATGAACCTTTGGCAACTTCAACGATCTCCATCAGGCCCCGTTCATTGCTCCGCCTGTCCACTGACGAACGAAACATTAGTGTTCGCTTTATCGCTTCATTATTGGCTCTCTGCAATGTCGTCCCCCAAAAGAAGATATAGTTACCCCTCAGTAATTGGACAAACTCTTCAACCTTTGGAAATCGTTACCGACGAGAGCATTTCTCTGTTCAACTTTACCAACGTCCTCCTTTCCGCCTTCGGTCCTGCAGAGCTAGGGTCCTCGAGTGATATCATGGACACTGACACAGAACAAGATCAGTTCTTTGATGCTTTGGAATCTTAATCTCAATGCTCACTCTGAGCAAGCATATATCTTTCCTTGTTAGCCTCTGTCTGATGGCCTCATACAATTCTACCGAGAATCGGTCAATAGATCAGAGGATAAGCCAATAAAGAAGGATATCACCCACTCACTCCCAAAAATGACCTCGCAGCAAGATCAGCATTAAATATTTTAGCTTGTAAATTTTATTGCTTTTCGCTGGTTAAAAAAAAAAAGGAGATCCCTTCCTTGTTGGCTTGTTCTCTGGTCTATTGACCAAAAACGTGACACTTTAATTTTTTTTCTTGCAACATCATTTTGGCAAAAGGTGTATAATCACGAGCAAAGCTTGACTTATATGAGCTATGGTGTCACAAAGATGGCATCCTGTCTTTTGTTGATAAATTACTATTACAAGTAAAATTTGCTACAAGTAATATTAATTGTAGCTCACGCTGTATCTGCCATTCAAAAGCAAAATCATAGCAAAATCAGCACTATTACTACTATTATTACGCACGCATAAATATATACTGATATATATATATATATGAATATATTTTGCCCCTGTTAACCACCCTTGCATTGCCATCTAGTCCTGGAAGTAAGAGCTTTCAGCAATCTGTTAAACCACCGACTATAATATTACCTCCGCACAGACTTATTTTTGTGTAACAAACATCATTCCTGTAACCAAGAATCAGCAAAAAAGAAACAGTAACTGGCATTATCGTTACTATGGATACAGCATTGTTTATAAAGTTAAAACAGTTAGAATTTAAAGATAGTTGGTTATTAAAAAACTCGACGCCTCCGATAATGCCAAGCAGTTTAGTACTTAATTGAATTTGAGTAACACAACAACTTAATTATTTTGAACGCAGAGAGAGCGAAAGAGTGGGATAGATAAAAGATGTGGATCGAGGCGCAATACACAAAATATAGAGTTGACCTATAACTGATTTCAACACATTTCTTTTCTGCTTTCTTACTTTTTTTTTTTTACTTACTCCTTTCCTTTATCCTTTACATGACCTCTCAAGTCATATCTGTCACTGCCAATCCTTCTCCACTCACTAAGACGACCTCCTTCATTACCTCCCTCATCTCACCAAACACTCAAAAAAATCAACCACTTTCATTGAAACAAAACGACAGGAAATGGCGCTGGTGGAATATATTGAGTGTGATCATCCTACTGCTTGTATTATTCGAGATCATTATACTCTGTACAAGTTATTCTATACTGAGTTCTGAAAAGCCATTGGTCACAATTGGTAAACAATAGCGTCATTATTTCCTCAACTTGACATAGACTTATTGTCTTTGATTAGTAAAAAGACAATACCCTACCATGAAATACACCCACCTTGACACCGACATACAAAGCAAGATCGAAAAGGATACTCGTGTATATCACGTGACTAAAGAGTTTGGACCAGCTGCGATATCAGACCTAGGTCGATACGTGACAGGACTCGCTACCGCTCAACAAGCGTCCGAATTGACAGACGTCGCGATCGTCATGCCACTGTATCCGTTCATGCGAAGATTAGCGCCTACGCTAGAGATTGAAATGATGATCGAAATGCGAGGCAAACACCCCGGAGAGAAAGCCGCCTTGGAATTTCGCGTTTACAAGGCAATGTATGCCTTTAATCCTCCTGTACAAGCGCCAGCCAAGCGTGTGTGGCAGATGATCAACAATGTCAACACCTCCATCAATCTGACACCACAACGAGAACCTGCCAAGAGGGATGCTATACCTGTGTATATGATCAGTCAAGCAAACAAATTTCCGTTCAACAAGGCATTCAAACACCGCACGCCTGATGAAATAAATGATGAGCATCCTGATTTGCCCAACGACTGGCGAGATCAATATTTTGCAAAAGCTGCCACTGCCTTTCTAGCGTACAAGGCAAATGCCGCAGATGAAGAATCAATTTTCGCCCCTATTCGAGTCGTACCTCGTGTTGATATCGTTCATATTCATGGTGCGTCCAACGCCTATGTGGCTAAATTCTTACAAGACAAAAAGGAAGCAGATGATCTCGGTCCCCGTCCGCCCGCGATTGTGTATACGGTACATGATCATCAAGCCGAGATGAAATATTGTAACTCTTTCCGCAGTGTTCGTAAATTTCTAGACCACTCTGGTGACCGAGAGAAGCTACACAAGTACGTATACGGAGGCCGCATGTTTATGTCCAAGGTTGCTATTGATCATGCCGAGGCAGTGACATTTGTAGATCATGCCCTAGCTGCTGACGTTCTCGAAGGTCGACGTGATTTTCATCTCAAAGAGCTCGTAATGGACAGTCTGCTGCGAAAAGCGCAAGGTTCACGGTTCTTTGGTATTAATCAAGCCATTGATTATCACAGCACAGATCACCCCTTTATTACCGACAAACTCGCCAACAAGTCGATGGTATATCCCAAATATGCACTCGACATGATTCATGATCAGCCTTCGCTTCAATCGGTCGATCCATCCCAGCCCTTGACGTTGGTCGTGCCTGAGACCCCTACCTACTGGACACTCCCTGAGCTCTCCAAGGATTTTGTGTCTGTGTACAAGGATCGGGCCAGACGATACTTAATTCGACGCAGCTTTTTGAAAGAAGCAGACATGAGACGACCCGTCGTTCTGTTTCGAGGTGCCCTTTCATACAATGCGGGTGCCGAGAGCCTCGCATATGCCGCTCAACTATTTGCCGAACATAATATGAAGCTTATCATCATGGGATCCCGTGCAGACTACCCATTTGAAGAAATAAAAGCTATTGAAGCGCGGTACCCAGAACATGTCAAGGTTGTCTCAGATGTCAAGGATGTGCGTCGATATGACACCTTGTGTAGAGCTGCTGCTGATTTTGTCTTTGTGCCTACGGCCCGCGAAGACGATCTGGCGCTACAGACAGTCGGTGGCCTTGTCTATGGATCAGCCGTTATCTCTACTGGTACAGGTCGATTACATGCTGCCTTCATTGATAGAGGAGATGTCAGAGGAAATGTTCATGTTGGTTATCCAGATTCTACCAAGACAGAAAACGGTGCCACTGTGACAAGTTACGAATATTATAATGCCTATCTTTACAATTACACCTCCAAGGACTCTCTTAAGCAAGCCATATCAGATGCTGCGTCTGATTATAACCAGCTCATCCGTAACAACAAGGTGCTTCGTGAAGAGTTTATCTTGAGAATGATTCGTAGTGCGATCAGTCTAGCTTGGGATAAAGGTCATTTCCAGGGCCCTATGCACGAGTATAATCAAGTCTATCAGTTAGTTTTGCAGGACAGACTTATTCCTCGTATGCGAATGCACGAAGTAGAACAGGAGAATGAACTTGTTTCCAGACTTCGAGATAACGCAGATGATCCCTTCAAGTGGAATTAAACACATATACATATATCCAGGGTGCTTCTTCATATAATGTATTAAATACAGCAACATCATACTGTTATATATATAGAGAGTAATGTCGTTTATTATACACGCCACTTATATTGTATCATATATAAATAAAATGAAAAAGTATATACACACATATACGCGCAAAAGATATCGTTCTTTAGAACGGTCCATGATGCATGTCTGCTGCTGAGGTTGACAGCATGAGATCTATAGATTGAGATTGTGAGATTGATATGCAAGTATATAAAAATAGACTTACTATAGTCATCCCAAATAGCGGAAGGAGCAGAATTCACCGACTCATTCATTGATATTCCCATCATGCTAAGTCCTTCAGCAAGCTCCATCGTCGCCATCTCAGGTGGTTCATGGAATGTTGTTGTCTGTGGCTGTAGTTGTGGCTGTGGCTGTGGCTGTGAGAGCGATTGCTGTGGTGGTGATAGACTGCGCAGATCAATAGGAGCCGGTGGTTGAATCTCTTCCAATCCTTGTTTCTTTCTCCACTCGTTTGTGTACCGCCTCAGATTATAATCGATCGTCAAGAACCAGTACTTTTCAAAAAACTCTGCTGGTAATTGCCAGTTGCCAGAAACAGCTGGATCTCCACCGTGAAAGACAGAGCCGCTGAGAAGACAGCGGAAACAGTCGTCAAGATCAAACAGGTCGCGGAAAAGAATCATTCGGTCTCGCATATGTGGGGTAGGAATGAGATCGATGCGTGGGTCATGAGGAATAGTCAACTACAAAAAAAAAAAAAGATAAGCAGCCTAATTAGAAAAAGATGGCCGGAACAAAAATATACCTGTAAAAGAGTAGGCTGGATCGCAGCAGGAATGGATGGTATCATAGCAGTAGCCGCTTGTAGACGCAGTCGAAGACGTAATGCCTGGATGGCTGCCAAATTAGATTGAATCGGTTCGTTCGGTACAGGTCGTGGAATCTCGTCTACGTTATTTGGTGTTTCGGATGCTGTCATGGGCGATAAAGGAGGCAAGTTGGCAAAGCAGCTTGGGTCAGATGATGACACCTTTGAATTTCCTTGATTATTGTACATGTTCCATTGATCTACATTTTGCTGAGGAGAGTTGCTATATACAGATTGTTTCTGGGTATGCACAGTATTAGGGTTCTGTGATGGATGATGTTGGTCACGAGTACGCTGAAACAATCGTGATGAGAGCTGTAGTTTATTTTTTGCGTTCACATTCAAATAAGAAGCTATACTCTGTGGCATTGATTGAGCAATAACATTGAGCGTATCTTCGTTTATATGTGGACAGTGTTGCGGGATAACAAGGTTTCGTTGCAAGCAAACAAGCTGTAATGAGAGAACGATGCCTTTCAAGTACCAACTTTCAGCTTTAAGTGTCTCATTCTCAACAGACAGTTTTTCGTTCTCTTTCAGTAGTTTTTCTCTATCTTGTTTTAAAATAGCAATGTCAGCCTCCAATTCCTTCATGTATCTTTCTTTTCGTTCTCTAAATGCCCTTTGAGCAGCGCGATTCTGAGCTTTACGAAGTGCAGGTGAGGCAGGATTAGGTTTTCTTCCTGGCTTTTTTCGAATCTTTATAGGTTGATCTGTCACAGACTGCTGTTGTTGGTTATTAGAATCAGTCATAGTATTTGCTGATTGATGCGATTGGTGTGAGGATTCTTTTATGAAATCAAACTCTTCCAAGTCTGAAAGATTCATTGCTTCTTCATAAGAAGAAGTGTTAATAATAACATCCGACATTAGGTGCTAATATTCAAAACAAAAGAGTCTTTTTAACCATTGCCGTTTTCGTCCATCAGTTTCCGCTCCGACGCCATTTAATTTTTCAATCCCCACAAGTTGGCGTAGATCCTGCAACCATTTCCTGCTCAGTTCTAAACATTAAGATCACTTTTTATCTGTGCAAGAATTTATAAATAGAGGAAAGGCTATATGTATATGTATGATGGTTTTAGGTAAGAGGGAACTATTGTGTATATAAGCATAGACTATTGAATTATATTCCTTCATCTTCATAAGGATTTACAAATAAAGGCAGTGGTAATTTTAATTCACTCTAGTTTATATTTCTCTTTAAGTTTTTATTACCGAATCATCTCGAAACAAGTAAACATTTACATGTGCTTGTGTACTCAAAGTAGGTATAGAATATATCAAGCCGTGATTAATCTAATCATTATCAAGGACAGATAATAGCAACTATCTGAATTCAAATAGTCATGTACAGAGGGAGAAAATAAACGGCAGTAACATCTTGAATAAGGCAAAAGCACGCTTCATTTCCCTTTATGGAGATGCACTGTGCAATTTAAAATTGATAATAGCAACAATAAGCATCATATGAAGCTTATATAAAGTAAGCCGATAGTATAGAAATGTAGCCATTACTATGCTCCACCCTCAACTTACCGGATGTTTGAAAACACCACCCACTTTTTTGACACTTGTATGTGGCCAAAATTTCCAGAAAAGTGAGAGTAATTTGGCCAAATATTTGAAACTAGTTTGCTCAGCATTTCGAGGATAAATTGCCCACTTTTAAGAGCAAATATCGAAGCGATCACAAATATTCTTTATTCAAGCATTTGGAGGATACATCGATCAAATGCTGGATGAAATCTTGTATATATTCAACAGAAACAACCCCGCTGCCTTCAGTTACTCTTGAAGAGAGTATTTCTGCATTTGCCAATTTACTTCTTCTGGCTAGATCCTTCCTTTAGAATACATCACTCTCGTTTTGTAGTGGATACTATAAACATGGATACAAACATTTGTTTATGCCACCTTAATCTCCTTTTTTAAACCCTATCAAAGAGTGCTGAAAAATACTCAGAGAACTCTGTTGAAAAAAGAAAGCAAACTCACACCTCACATTGCTGAAGACTGTAAAACGGTGACTATAAAAACCTGCTAAGGCTGATTAAAACATGCTGAGACTTAATGGGATACGTGTTCTGATAGAAAGATCGGTTTGGAGTAGCCTAAATTTTTACTTCTCAATTAATGTTTTGGATTAAGCTTGTTAAAGGTGTTTTTAAGACTTTGAGGATTTAAATATGTTCTCAGATAACCAGCATTACGTCCCCCGTCAAAACAAATATCCCAATTCACTCTCTTTTTTGTAGTCCTGTATTCTTTAACAAATTCTTTTACCCATTCCATATCTGTCTTTTTTGGATTTGGATCAATGATTCCCAGTAGACTTTTATGAGTGAATTTGCTACTACTGCTTGCCTGAACTGTTGGTGATAGCGCTAAAGACTCTGACATAGATGAATTGGAAAGCTGCTTAGTGTATTTTTGTATACATGTTTCATTGTAGATCAAGCCATCATTTGCGTATATTCATGCCCGTTTTGGATCATTTTCATCCTCTTCAATTGCCATTATTATTCTTTTATATTGATCTCAGTTGTTTTCACAGACGTTCAGCGGTCCTTTCTTCATCTCGTATTTCATGTTCAAGTGCTACTCTGGAGATGTCATACAACATCTGCACTGTTGGATCATCTTTGTACTCCAAACTAAGCAGTGAGGCTTCTTGTTTTGTTAATACATATCCGAGTGCAGCCATTTCTGATAGCGGCGTGTTTAAGGAGTCCGAGATTGTTTCTTTACTCATAAAAAAAAATGCTCTTGAGCCCAACAGTTGGATGGTAATTCTTTGAATAACGTACTTTAGGTGTTTCAAGAAGAAGATTTGTTGTATTTAGCTTTGTATTGAAAAAAAGCAATAAGTCGACGACTTGCGAATTAGATTTTATAAAAAGAGCTGAGTATTGTTAAATTAGGTTTGTGTGAGAGTTTCATAGGGAATATTCATGTTGTCAGTATGATAAATGTGGTCAATGTAATTATTTATCAATGCTATGTTAGTAGCTATCAATGTTGTCAGCACTCTTATTTATTCTCAGTAGATGTGATAGAAGAATGTAGAGTAGAATGTATGCTCTACTGTAAGATTATATTCGAGTTATTATAATGATTATCTCATCAAACACGTCAGTTTTCTTTTTTTTTTTTGGGCTAAAGATGTGAGTCATATGCGAAGCCATTAAACTTGTCCATATCACGTAAAGTGGTTATTCTATACTATAATTTTGTTTTTCTCTTTATTAAAGCTTTGCCTTTGATTTGGCTTCTGTAGCCGCGGCATCACGCAAGATACGACGAAGAATTTTTCCGCTAGGGTTTTTAGGAATCTCATCTACAAAGACAATACTGTGCAGTTGCTTATAATAGGCGACCATACCAGCAATATACTTTTTGATCTCATTAGCTGTTTGTTCAGTAGCAGGAACACCAGGTTTCAATACAACATAACCTCGAGGCACTTCAGTAGCAAGCTCATCATTATAAACGCCAACGACACCGCAATCAGCTACAATAGGTGATTTAAGCTATTTCTAGAGTGAGTACAAGTCTTCAAAGAAAAAAACGAGAAAATACGATAAACACTTACCAGTAGGGCTTCTAATTCAGCTGGTGGAACCTAGTGAAGATTTGTCAACTTCTGTTTGCATTGAGTATTCTTCCATTTTTTTTATACCTGGAATCCCTTAAACTTGATCAATTCTTTAATACGATCAACGATATAGAAATGACCGTTCTTGTCTTGAACTGCGATATCGCCTGTATGGAAATAGCCTTCAGAATCAATACATTCTGCAGTCGCTTGAGGGTTGTTGATATAACCCTTTACAGTAAAAAAAGGTCAACATGCTATACTGACTGACTTCATCTCTTGTATTACCTTCATCACATTTGGGCCCTTTAACCATAATTCTCCACGCTCACCCAGAGGAACATCTGTAGAGGGAAGATATATCAGTATATGTTTGTGCAAAGTAAAGATATGGGATTGTCCCTTACCTTTGCCATTATCATCCACAATTCTAGCTGTCATATTAGACACAAGAACACCGACAGAGCCTAACAGAAGATAAATATTTTACCGTCATTATTAAGTTGAAATACAAATTACCGTCAATGATTCGGTCTGTTGGCTCAATAATTGCACATGGAGAAGTTTCGGTAAGACCATATCCTTGCTTGATCTTTAATTTAGGTAAGCGCTGTCTGACCTGTTTAGAAAGATCTCCACTAAGAGGAGCTGCACCACAGATGACAAGACGGAGAGAAGATAGGTCATAGTTATCGATGACAGGGTTCTTTGCCAAAAGGACAACGATGGGTGGAGCAATGATAGTGAAGGTGATCTTTTCTCTCTGAATCGTTTCACAAAACTGGGATAAGTCAAACTTGGACATGATATGCACAGGAATTCCCAAATAGAGTGCGACATGAAGCATGAGTGATAGGCCCATAATGTGGTAAAATGGAATTGTAGCCAACATGCGATCATGGTTGCCACTGACAAATTTTTCTTCGAGCATACAGTACTGCAAGACATTGGCAGCCATATTGGCATGACTAATTATAAAGCTAAGTCAAGAGGACAATAAGAAGAGTTGCAGTTACTTACGTTGTCATGACACCCTTGCTCTTGCCTGAAAGTGTATTGATGATTATTGATGTTAAATATTTAGTATTCCCTTCATTTAAAATTCAGAAGATATTACCTGTAGTACCGGATGAGAAGCAAAGACAAGCAACGGCATCCTTTGTCTCTTCTGGCGTAAGATCTTGGAGGACAGCATGCCTGTTACCGAGCAAAACTTGTTTATAGGTAAGCACACCATCAATGGCTTTATCACCAAACAAAAGGATGTTTGATTTAGGTAAGCCAACTTGTTGAGCAGCTTCTAATGCGATATTAAGGTTGCTCTCATGAGTGAGAAGTATTTTAGCTTTAATAGTTTCCATTTGATAGACAAGTTCTCGCGCTGTATAGCTTGGATTTGCAGGACTAGCAGCGCCGCCTTGATGTACATAACAAAGAGTGAGCTAAATGTAGACAAATAATACAAATACATACCTGCTGCAATAATACCGAAAAAAGGTACTGAATAATCATACTATGTTTATAAACATGATGCATAAATAAATATTCTTTCAACGAACGAGCGTAGATTACCTGGTTTGGAGAATAAATGGCTACTGTATCACCCTTTTTGAAATTATACTTGTCCTGAAGACCAGCAGCAAAGCGTAGTACGGCGTCCTTTAACTCTCTTAAAGTTAAACTTTTACCAGTAGACGCATCAATGAGCATCTTTCGATCTTCAGGTGTATTGTTTGTATTAGCAAATAAGAATTGAATGAGACCCACTTGAGGCTCCTTGATAGGTGGAAGAGGAGATTGAATAACCATAGTAAAGTTGTGAAGAAGAAGAAAAAAAAAAAAAAAAAGAAGCAAAAAGAAAAAGAAAAAAAAGAAGGTTAAGGGTTCACTTTGTTACATAGTAAAGTCAATTTCAAATGTCGTTCCTAGTCCAACCTTGTTTATCTCTCAGATGTCGTACAGCTGTTAGGCTGGATCTGAATTACCATTAATCAAGAAGAGCTTTTTTGTGAAATTTATGTTTTCAATACTCCGTGATGCTGGGATGTAAAACCGTATTCGATAAGAAGAGCTATTTATTATTATTATTATTATTCTTAAAAAGCTACGGTAAGAAAGGTATTGATGAAGGCTTATCAGATCGAATACAAACATATTACTGCCATAATAGGAAGACTATTTGTGCATAATGTATGTTCTATATGGCATCCAATGGGCACTGTAGTCAAAATCCCAAGGAGCATTAACCTGTCAGTATCTAAAATTAGGTGCATGAGAAAGTTCTTTCGGGAAATTTAAAATTGCTACTTTTGATCTCATAAACAAAAGTAGACTTTTGCAAAGGAAAAAGAGAGTAAAAAGAATATCAAATGCTTACAAACATTGCGAAGCAATACCTGATGGTATTATATTTAAGGAATAAAAGCTCTGGTTTCTATGCACCATGGACATTCTTGAAATACATTCAAAGCACGATGAACTCGAGCTGTATATCCTTTAGATATAATAAACCAATCAAGTATTTTACGAATAACATACAGTTTGATAATCCTACAGATCAAAAAGGTTGAATTGGCTATTAGTCAAAAATAGTGTCAGATAACAAAGCGTGGATTCGTAATTTTTCATCGTGTTTTTCTATACATTAAAGTTAATTAATAAAAGACTGTCAGAAACTAATGATATATGAAGACTAGCTCTTGGTTAAGTTGGCTTTTCTGTCAGCTAAAAAGTGGTTTGTCGGGAAAAAAGAGTTATGTCTATTGTTTGACTTGTTTGGTAAATTAGACTACACCAAAAAGCGCTGACAATAATAATACAAGAATGTCAAAATAGAAAAGTAGTAAATACATATAGTTCTATATGTGCTTATGCTTAGGCTGTTTGGACCAAATGTGCTTGGTAAGCTGAATGTTGGATGAGCAACACGATTATGAGTGCATCTGAAATAGCCAGAGATCAATGTTTGAACATGAGCTGCAAAGCCCATTATCCAAATAATTGATACTTACTCAATCGTTAATTATTCGTATGTGTTCAGAACCGTCCATGTCACCAAGTCATCTTTCACTTCAGTAGCAGTCAAACGTTTCTATAAAAAACAAAGTGCATCTATAGGCACGTGATCAAAAAACCAAAGTGAAAATCATCACTTGTGATGTGCAACCCTATCTCATTTCATTTACCGCACTTCTTATTTTTCTGCCAAGAGACTTTTTTTTGCTAGGCATTAAGGCTTTTTCTTTCTTTCTTTTTTTTTTGTTAAATTATAAATACATTATGCAACATTGTTGTCGTTGGAAAGGCTGTACAAAACTATTTGGTGACCCTGAACAGCTCTATAGTCACTTGACAAATGACCACGTTGGTAGAAAATCAACTGGTAACTTATGCTTAACTTGTCATTGGGAAGATTGTGATGTGTCTGTTATCAAAAGAGACCATATCACCAGTCACCTTAGAGTCCATGTTCCTTCAAAGCCTCACCATTGCGCTGTAAGTGAATATTGATCATATTATAATTCTTTTATTCATTGTGTGCAGTATTGCGATAAATCGTTTAAACGTCCTCAAGACTTGAAGAAGCATGAAAAGATTCATGATGAAAATAACGACACATTAAAGCCTCAAACAGGTGGAATGAACCCATCCTTATCACCTCAATCCTCTTCCATGTCTCATGCTAGATTACCTATTTCCCCTCCTCATAGTACAACTTATTCCGATGGTACGTATCGGATGATGGGTTTTAGTTTTGTATATTGACCTCTTGTCTATATAGACTCTTGGATGCAGCCCGTAATATCACCACGATCAGACTTATATGATATGAAGCAAGAACCATGTACACCACCTCAATATAACTCAAATGAATTCATTCAACAGCTGATGTTTAACGAAGGAGAACTAAAAACTGACTATGACACAGGTAATTGTGTGTGTGCGTGTGTTTCCATAAATAGGTTTTAATGCCTTATAATAGAAATGATGAATAATCTAGATATGCTTCAAGCATTAGTTGATAATGGTTCAATATGTCCAAGCTCACTTAATATCAACAGTCAGGAACAATTGAATAACTTCAATCTTTGGTTATCTCAATTAACAGAACAAATTCAAAGCCCTTACTCTGAACAACAAAAACAGCAGCAAGAGCAACTACAACAACAACAGAATCAATATGCTGACGTACTATTACAATTTAATGAACCCCAAGATGTTATATATCCAGAACAGGACTTGTACGTTCGTTCTTATCCAAGTATGCAATCTGCTGACATGGCAACTCAACAAGTATTTAATCAACAAGAGCAATTGCAATATGACAGCCAATTATATAATGATTATCCTGTCATGGACAATAACTATAGCCAATACAGCTACACTCCTGACCTGAAGATGAACGGACAAAGACATCACTACACAGCCGTACCTGGTATGGCCTCTAACCTATTTACTCCTGATATCCGTACAACATACAATTTGAGAAGTACAAAAGAAGACGTCAAATATAAAACGCCAACCACTCATGCCAAGGAAGAAAAGGTCGCCGAGGCATTTAAACCTACAATTGTGACACATGAAACTAAAAAGAATGTTACGACAATGATGAATGTATTTTCAAGTACGTTGTCTGTAAATGACAAGAAAGTGATGCAAACCAAAGAAGAAACTGCCGAGCCATCTGCCAAGAAAACGTCATCTGTTAGTAAAGATGTCTTGGATCTTTTGGTGAGCGATATGTCCGATTTATCGATTGAGAAAAAGAAGGAATCGTCGATACTTTACCCATCATTGGATAAGATTGAAAAGCATCAAAAGTTACTAAGACAGTTGAGTGAATGGGCAAACACAGGTTTCAAACAAAAAGATCAACTCCGTGTTTAAACTATAAATAAACAATAAAAGCCTCGTTTTTGATCAAGAAAAATTATGCTCAGCAGTAATATTATTTCCGCCTCCCTTTTTTCTTATCAGGACAAAAAGAGAAAAATATTCTTGTCTATACTGTTTGACTCACAAACATTCCCCTTCCTAATACAATGAACAACTCGGTCAAAAGTATATGCTGACTAACAATTGTTTAATTGAACCTACAACGGTTCATCATAAATTGCAGTGATGTGCTAATCAAAGGTGCTGTCAAGTTCACCCAGTTGACAACAAAAGACCACACATTGTTCATACCCGTGGCTTTTGATACTTGTCAATCCTGTTCATTATCCAATCATTCCTTTGGAAAACTATAAGAGGGATCTCTCTCATTCCATTTCTTTTATGTTTGCTCTTTATTTTTTTCGGAAAGAGTTCGGCTTACCTCCTTACAGGAAAAGCCATTTTAGGAGGGACCTTCCATAAACCATCTGAGTTCGCTTCGTATTAAAGTAGAGCTTTTTAGTCAAAGGAAAAGCCTGTTGGAAGTATGAAATAAAAAAAGTACAATTTATTGCCTCTACAAGTGATACAAGGCTCAACATGGCAGTTTTCTTTTACAAATTCAACATTTTTCTTTAAAAGAGTATATGATTATATATGGATGTATATGTATAGATATTAGTTTGGAACCAATAATTGTAAACGTTCAGCAACAGCGAGTTGTGTACGTGTCATATTGGCAAGATAAACTACCATCAAGAGGTCTTGCAAGTGAGAGTTGAACATTTTTTCGAATGATGTGCTGTCAATCTTGGGCACAACGGAAACGGTATCCATGATGTATCTGCCAATGGCGTTATTAGGTTGCACTTCACCGCTCTATACAAATAGTCAATCACTCTGCTTTGAGTCAACCTGTCAAATCACTTACGACAACACCATCAACATATTTACTGATTCTTTCAAGCATTTCCTGAAGCTTAGTGACAGCAATTTCAAGATGATCCATATCTGAGATTAATGAGGCAGTACGGTTATCGTTTGATTTGGCTGAGGCAAGCATATCCACTTTTTTTTTAAAAAAAAAAAAAAAAAAACATGTCAGTAAACAAAAAAAAAGGAACGATTGAAAATATTATAGTTACATCCACTTCTTTCAGCATCAAGGTATTTCACTTCACATGGGACAGACAAGAATAAGCAGTCTCCTGGCTTGCTAGAAAATCCAACAGGAGCACTACACAAAAAATAGAGTTAGATAAAGATGACAATGTTCTCTAGTTGTATGTTACCAAGCATAGGCAGAAAGACCCATATCAGAGCTCTTGAAGAGAGCATCAATATCAACAGTAATATGAATAGGTTGGAAGGGAGACGTATCTTCAGTAAAGAAAGATTGTACGGGAGTGCAAGAAGGAGTCAAGTCTTTTCCAGCAGTATACCAACCAAGAATAATCTCTTCTGGATTAACTCTTTGATGTAATTCGTACATGGCACGATAATGTTCTCTGTCAAGGCTAATTTCATTTTCTTCGGTAGTGTAAATCAAAGCAAAAGCGTTTCGGATCTCTACTTCAGTACCATCGGTGCTTCGAGCACCTAGAATGGCACCAACAACTTTAGTTTCGGGTTCATTGCGGCGCAAGTAGTGATCCAGGATATTAAACAAGACAACAGGGCTAGTAGATGCAGTAAAAGCACGCTGGTAGGGTGCACTGGAGAAGTTTACTGTCAAAGTGTCCAACTTGGTAGTCATGGTGTATAATAAAGGGAAAAAAAAAATTTGAGAAGATTTCAAAACTGAAATTTCAAGTGACGTGACTCTCTTGCTAGGCATACCCTTATTTTGTACCCATTTCTGAATTTAAATTCTTGTAGTGACCATTTATTCTTTGATATTGTGGCCATTAATTCTCTTTAATTCTTTAGCTTTTTCGTCCACTTATTTCCCTTTTATTAAAGAATAGTAATCATGTCTGAGAGCTTATTTTTAGAGCAATACACACCATTAACTAGAGAAATTATCGTTGATATCGACTTTTGAAAGAATATCATTGAAAATTTCCCTGCCCATCATGCAGTATGTTGAATTTATAAGGATAAGATGAATAATGATATGTACGTTAAACGAAGAAGGTCAACCTATGCCAAAGCGCGTAAAAAGGAGAAGCATCATTTGAAAAATTAAATACACATGTTATAGAGCTGGGATCTATAAGGATTGTGCTGGTATACAGGCAGAAGATGAATCGTCTAACAGCCGGCCAATTCAGAAACCAAGCAAGAAGATCGATTGCAGATGCTATGTTGCTGTCACTTGCTATTTCGTAACACCTAACCATGTCACCATTAAGCTTCATAATGAGCATAATCATCATATTGAAGCTTTGATGATATCTCTTTTTTGCCTTTATCGGATAATACGAAGAAAGCTATATTGCAAAAGTTACGTGAAGGTTATGGTAGAAGAGACATAAGAGATGCGATTCAACACCATTTTAATGAAAGACAAGAGACCTTTTTCCCGAAGCTACCAGTTCGTCATCCTCCTCAGTATATACTGTACACCGTGATCAGTTCGTCCACTCCGAAGATGTGTACAATATATACAGTCTTTTCAGAAAGTAAAATCGTATTTTTGTAGTTTTTATAATACAGTTTATACAAAAAAGCGACAAGTCAGAGTGACATCTCTTTCTGGAAATAGTGTATAAAAAAGTTAGACTATCGTACAAAAACCACATTGAACAGAAAGAATCGATCAAGCTTTGGTTGAAAGATCTGCAGCAACAACGAGGTTACTTTACCTAAATTGCCTAAGATTTTGAACAGAGCTATACATTCGACTTTGTTTCTCCATGGCAAAGACAACAACTAGTTCGAGCTGAATCATTTTGCCTTGATGCTACACATTGTGTGTCTAACATAGCCAATGTTATATTATATAGCATTGTCGTTAGACATTCCATTACAGGAAGTGGTTGCCCAGTCGCATTTTTCTTTACTAATGATCATTAAATGATCCTAATCGCACGCTTTTTAAGATTTATCAAGAATCTCGGGCCTGATCAATAACTTCCTTGCTTAAAGAAAATAACAATCGACATGTCCGCCGCTGAGCACGCAACCATCACAGGAGTCTTTGGTTCTGCCATCAGTATACAATGGTGTATTTTCCATGTCAGCAAAGCCTGGATAGATCAAATTCGCAAGAAAGTCAAGTTAAGAAGCGCTTCTGACAACAATGTTGTCCATAGAAACGCTATAGCAGTCCTTAAGAGTTTGATGTGGGAAAGTTCAACCCAAATGCTCACCCAGGAGCTGCTACACTTCCAACAGGAGTTTTCAATGCACACGGATTTCATGGCTCACTTTACCCAAAAGTAGAACTTGTATTCCACAAGGTACATGTTTGATATGCGTTATCTCTAAAAGATCTTTTCTCTCCTGTGGTGGAGGTGTGATCATTTCTAAAGGTCTGAACATTCTTGTCGTAGAACAATGTCTGCTTATGACTGGCACTGAGATAAACGACTGTAATCAGTATGAATAAAGTGAATTCATACATTATAAGATTACTTATACACACTTTTAGTGATAAGTCAAATTAAATAGAATCCCTCCTTTGAATATAAATCACTAATTCTTTATATAAAAGGATGCATTTCTTTAAAAGATAATCCTCCTTATGGTAAAGTCAGTATCATAACCCAGATCATAAGATGAAAGTTTTCGTTATGAACTCAGGAACCGTTAGTCAATCACGTCCTCAGTAATTATAATCCACGTTTAGAATAATGGCTTACCAGGCATTTGATAGCAACTATAAATAGTAGACTCTTAATTTATTTGTATGTTCCTTCTGTCTTTATCTCAGAATAAAGATTAGTCTCAAAGGGTACTTCTCTTGTTTTTTATGTTGTGTTTCTAAACCATTACATAAATCTTTGTGTTTTTAGTTAAATCTCCATCCAATAGAGGCTGGTTTGCTTTACAGACAACACTTGCAGATACTTTAGTTACTAGGGATCTTTCTCTTACATTGCGACACATTTGGTTCAGTAAATAAATATGCGTCTCATCTTCTTCATCGCCGATAGATTTCCTAACGTATCCTTGGATTGTATAATTATTTTCTTTTAAATTCGAGGTAAAAGTTCTACGATGTCTCTTATGACATGATCTAAATAACAAATTAATTATTAAAGCCGTAGTAGTTTATGTATATTATATCTTACGAATGTATTGATCTTTCAAAACATAGAGATTACGAGTCGAATACTTATGACCTGAGTCACCTTGTTTTCTTTTGATGGGGACTTTCGTTAATTCCAGCTTTCTGGTACTCACCATTTGCTAAAGCTATGTGCAGTTTTGTTGTTTAGAATATCTGTGTATTTCCAAACTACACTAAGTATATCGTTCGTTGTTAAACTTTTGGAAATAAATATTTCTTCGTTGTAAGGATTCATTGGCAAAAAGATGGCATTCAAGAAATCAATGAGTTGCACAACAGTGGCTAAAAAAAAAGGCGTACACTACGCGCACGAGGAAATCCACGAGAAGGCTAATGATACAAGCATTACCTGTGGTGTCAACAAACCTTTTCAACGTGTAGCGTCACGTTAAGCTTGTTCAGAAACAAACATCTTTTCATGTTTCTTGATGTAGGATAAGAATTTATCTTTTAAGAAGAAAGAGACAAAGTGTGGTTACTGCTATATTTTAATTTTATGTTGTCAGTTTAATCAACAAAGAATCAAGATCAAACACGCACAATTATGGTATATACGTATTTTATATCAAAGGGTATCCCACAGGACAGGTTTAGGTTAGGTAGACATTTTGGTGATGTGAATTTGTACAGTGACGCCATATGTATAGGAGAATAGGTGTCCGTAGCATTAACCTTCTCATGGATTTCCTCGTGCGCGTAGTGTTCACAAGAAAATCGTAAAAATGATACTGACAAAATAAAAAGTGTAACAACCAACCAATCTCTTTTTTTGCAAATTTCGTCTTGAATCATGTCTGTTTTCTCAATTTTATAGAGATATGTATGATTATTTATGGAATCCATATATATGCTTTCTTATATAGTAAGAATGGCTTTGTAGGATCGTCTTTGTAGCAAATCTCAGTTTGCATATTCTCAATGGTTTTGAGTAAATCGTTGGCTTTTTTCTTGGCGTATGGCTGATGATAAAACATGCAAATGACTTGTTCGCCGATGATATGTACCATAACTGTTGTGACAGATAAACAAGGCGATTGGGTTGGGTCAGGGTGTAAGCAAAATAAGGCAAGACAGTAAAAGAGAGAGCGAAAGAGAGAGCGAAAGAGAGAGTGGAAAAAATAGGGGAAAAGATGGATTGAATTTGAAAAAGCTGTGGACAACATAATGGACAAGATACAGCCAGGCTAGTAAATATTGACAAATTTGCGAATTCTGAAGTTAATGTAGAGGAGACTAAGGATGTGGTAATAGGCTTTCTAAGCCATGCTTTATTTTCTGTTATATAACAATAAAAATTTCAAACTCTATATCCTTATCCCTTTCTATACCATGGGCAGGACCTTGCCACGCCCTTAGTTTCCTCTACGTCAACTTTAGAATTGAGAAGCATACTTATCTCAATCATAATTGACTCCAATTCGACTTCGGATGTGGTACTCTTTTTCGTAAGGACTAATAGTGTGGCTTGTTGGAATATCGCTTTGGCGATTCTAGTACATTGATCGGATCGTCTTTTTCTGTTTTACTCCAAAACTCGTGTGTGTTTACGAGCTTGGAGCTTATGCCCCAACCTGAGTCGGGACGCATCGACGTAAACAGTATATCTTGGGTTGTTTACGTCTTGGCCTTGATCTGAACTTCCTCTATGAATTGATAACTCGTTGTATACTTCCTTTAATTCCATCCACCAAGATAGTTCCTGCATTGCATCGTTCGTAATTTGACAAGTTGATTCCCAATTCTGATTGCTCAACCTCAAACTCCTTGCCAAATCCCTCTGCAGATAACGTACATGCAGTAAGGCATTCCCTACTGCTGGAATCATCGAGGTAATTTTCCCAATAAGGCTTGCAATCCACCTGCAGGATCTTTTCTTTCCTGTGACGATCAGCTGCTTGACACGGCTCTGCAACCTGCCTATTTTTGTTTTTGGGACTGATATCATCATTCTCGTCGTATTGAACTGAAAATCTAGAGCTTCTTGAATTTTCTTCGGCTTCAATTTGCTCTTGTTCTTGTTGATGATAAACCCAAGCTTCTGAAGATGATTTCGTATATGTCGTACGTTCTTCTTCATTTCTTCCACAGCCTTGGCTAATATGCATATATCGTCCAAATAACAGACCGTTCTGACCCCCTATTTCCGTAAAGGCTCTATGACGAATTGCATCAACTTCGAGAAAATTCTCGGCACCACGCTCAGCCCGAAAGGTAGGGACTTGTACTGATAGACAGTACCCCTGTGAAGGAAAGATAAGTACGGATGGGAATCCCTGTGAATAGGGACAACCGTGTACGCGTCCTTCAGATCTAATTTACAAATCCAGTCGTTCGGCTCTATCAATTCTTGGAGAGCCGGAATTCCTTCCAGCTTGGAGTGCTGACATTGTATAAACTGGTTTATTTTCTGACAGTCCAAAATCGGGCGAACCTTGTCCTTTTCTCTTACTACAAACATCTGCGATAAAAATTGATGAGACTGAGAAGGTGACTTTTCTATAATGTTCGCTTCTAAAAACTGCCTTACAGCTACATCCACTTCTAACTGATCCGCTTTCGATAAACACAGTTCTCGTGTCCTCCAAAGCCATGGCATGTGTGTCCACTGAATTTGATACCCCTGATTGATAACCTGCAACGGCCATCGATGGTTTGTCATCTTCGTCCATTGCTGATAAAATCTTTGTAGACGGCCCCAGGGGCTATACCATCTGTGTGGATAGTATAATGAGACAAACGTGTTGCCTCCTTCTGACCGTCTATCTGCGGTGGGCGTTTTACTGGAGGCAGAGCTGGGGCTCGGAGGCGTTCCTTTTGGCTTCTGCTGAAGGCTGCTTTTTGGTTTCCCAAAAAAAAAAAAAGATTGTTGGGTTCTTGTTACTTCGATAATTCTGGGATTTATTTCGTTCGTAACCTCATCCTCGTTGTTGACTTCTTGGTGTTATTGCTCTTCGAAGAATCACTTCTTCATACCTAGCTTGCTGAACTCTTTCGACAGTTTCGATGTCGAAAGTCATGTCCTTGTCTTCGTCATCTTCATCCTCCAAGCATCTGACACCTGTGGGAAGGCATAATGCTTGTGTGGATATATCCCGGGCTTCTTCGTCCATTTTCTTCTCACTGACATAGCTGTACAAGATATTGCCCACGATTTAATCCTTATTAGAAAAAAAATGATTAGACAGAATACAGTGAAAAATCATGTTAAACAGTGTGTAAATCATGACAATAGCATTATTGATTGATCCAGTTCCTGTCTCGATAAAACGCAAATAGGTATATCTGCCAAACTTTGAACGCTTAAAGTTTATGTTCTAACCTAATCATTTACAAAATAGACTATGTGCCCATTGTATACCCGTTGAAGCTTTGCAAACAATGCTCAGCTGATAATGCTTATGGTGGAAACTTAGTAAATTACTTTTGCTTAGTTACAACTTGTTAGGTACTGATTATTCTATTTTAATACTGTCAACTCCATCCAATGATAGGTCTGGAACGGAGACGTCAACGCAGCATTGAACATTCGATCGATTCTTGCAGATTATGTTAATAGTAACTGTAATATTAGATTAAGGAATGCTGCATTTAATAGAGTGCTTTAACCAACACTGTTAAATAGCTAGCTGCATTGGCCATTCACACTTGTAAGTGTCGAAAGGAAAATACTAACGTCACATTATCTTACCCAATCAAAAAATTCTGAGGTGATTTAAGTGAGTGCCTCTTGGTGTGACTCGTTTTTGTACTTCGCACTTGCTGTGTTGCGTAATTGCTTTGCCTGTCTCGCTCTCTCTCTCTTTTTTTCTTATTAAAAAGCTTCATAAAATGACAACTTTGGAAGATAAATCTTTGTGGGAAGGCGATAATGACGATCAAGACATTGGTCAAGATATTCTTCGTTTAGCACCTGAAGAAATTACAAACAGAACTCGTTTATTGGAAAACGAAATTAAGGTAAGCTTATCAAACAGTAAAAAGGAGACGCGTAGTCATTAACCGGGATGATATAGATTATGAAGTCAGAAATAGTCAGACTGCAACATGAACAAGCTGCTATGAAAGAAAGAATAAAGGATAATAAGGAAAAAATCAAGATGAATAAACAACTTCCCTACCTTGTCGGCAATGTTGTTGAAGTAAGTTGGATATTTTATATTTGTACACATTACTAATATAAATCTTTTGATAGTTGCTTGATATTGATCCTGACCAAGAAGAGAATGAAACTGAAGGAGCCAATGTTGATTTAGATGGGCAAGTGAAAGGAAAATGTGCTGTCATCAAGACTTCTACACGACAAGTAAAAAGTTTACTTACAAAGCAATACAATTCAAACTAACTGTCACTATAGACTATCTTCCTGCCGCTAATCGGTTTAGTTGACCCTGCTGAATTAAAACCAGGAGATTTGATTGGTGTGAATAAAGACAGTTATTTGATTTTGGACAAGCTTCCTGCAGAATATGATTCTCGAGTAAAGGCAATGGAAGTCGATGAAAAACCTACAGAAGATTACAACGACATCGGTGGATTAGACAAACAGATTGAAGAACTAGTTGAAGCCGTTGTCTTGCCTATGACACATGCTGATAGATTCAAAAACCTCGGTATTAGGCCACCCAAGGGTGTATTGATGTATGGACCACCAGGTACTGGTAAAACACTGCTAGCAAGAGCATGTGCTGCTCAAACAAACTCGACATACCTCAAGTTAGCTGGACCTCAGTTAGTACAAATGTTTATTGGTGATGGTGCTAAATTAGTTCGTGATGCTTTTGAATTGGCCAAAGAAAAGTCACCAGCGATTATATTTATTGATGAACTGGATGCTATTGGTACCAAGCGTTTTGACTCTGAGAAATCGGGCGATCGTGAAGTACAACGTACCATGTTGGAACTCTTGAATCAACTTGACGGCTTCTCATCTGACGACCGTATTAAAGTCATTGCTGCCACCAATCGTATTGATATTTTGGATCCTGCCTTATTACGTTCAGGTCGTTTGGATCGTAAGATTGAATTCCCTCTTCCAAATGAGGAAGCCAGAGCTCGTATTATGCAAATTCACTCCAGAAAGATGAATGTTAGTAAAGATGTCAACTTTGAAGAATTAGCAAGATGCTGTGACGAATTTAATGGTGCTCAATGTAAAGCTGTGTGTGTTGAAAGTAAGTGTCTAGAACAAATGTATACATTTTTTATATTGACATTTTTTATCCAATAATAGGTGGTATGCTAGCATTACGTCGAGGAGCAGTTGAAATTACTCATGAAGATTTTATGGAAGCTATTCAAGAAGTACAAGCCAAGAAGAAGATGACATTGCAATACTATGCTTAAAAGAAAGAAAATAAAAAATAAACAGATCTCCTTGAAAAAAACGGGAATGACACTGAATCTTTATTAAACTAGCCAATTAAGGAATTATAGATTGCATTTTCAGTATTTATAGTCAGTTCAAAAAAGTTTTTCTTTTTTTCTTTTAAATTGATAGACACACACACATGAATAATCCGCCGTTGTCTGAAAAAGATGACCAAGTGTAAAGACTGTTTATAAATGAAAAATTAGGGGGTTCAATTCATATTGATCAGTACAAAAAAAATTATTAACACTCACAACTTGACAGATTTTCTGATCCGGCGATAATTGTTGAACCCAAAAGAGAACAAGAGTCACTGCAAATAAAAAAAATGTTTACCATAGGAGACAACAGCGACTCGAGTACAGAGGAAGACACTTCAACAACGACTGAGGCAATAGGTCCAACCAAGATAAAAGTGCAATTCCCAATTGAATTGGAACAACGTTTCTGTCCTGCCTTTCCTAAACCTCCTGTTGACTGTGACGAAGACGACGAAGAAGAAGCACCAAAAGAACCATCTCGGAAGGAGAGAATACTCGAATATCTTTCTGCCAAATTTCCTGGCCGAATTGTCAGAAGAGTGTTGAAATGCACCATTGCTTACTTTCTATCTTCACTCTTCAGCTTGGTTTATCCTGTCACACACTTTCTCGGTCCAGCGCCCTTCTTTGCCGTGACCGCGATGCTCTTTAGTCATCCTGGGCGTACCATGGGCGCACAGTTTGACGCAACCATCACAGCTGTCCTCGGCGTTGTCGTGGCTGTGCTCTATGCGTTGGCAGGCATGGCTGCATCCGTTGCCTATAATGTGGCGCATAAAGACACCTACCAGTCTCAACCTATAGGCCGAGTGATTAATGTTGTCTTTCTGTTTGTGGGTATCTTTGGTGCACAGATGCTGCGTCAGGCCTATCCCAAATTCCACTTTTTCTCACTCCAGTTCATGATCATCCAAATCTTTGCCATGTCTAGAAGTATTGATTACCTTTACGTACCCTTTGATTTGCCCTTGAATTATGGTATACCTCTCTTGATGGGTCATGCTATTGCGCTCTTTGTCAACCTTGTCTTTTGGCCAGAGACGGCTGTGGATGGATTAGGTATGCTTTTTTTTTTTTTATGAAAAAGACAAAGGGCTCACCTTTTATGGACGAATAGGCAGAGCATTAAAAGAAACCCTCACGAGTAGCAAGGACATGCTACACATGATTACCAAGCAATTCTTTCTCGATCCTACATCCGAACTTGTACCTGAAGAAGTAGTCGATGGCATCTCAGCCAAGATGCGAAAGGGCATGACCAAGGTCAAGACAGCCTACCGTGAAGCAAAATACGAAATCTCATACTCATTTATACGGCCACAGCAGCTCCGTCAAGTGCGAAAATCTCTCGACCGACTGACACGACACTTGAGCATTCTTGGCAGTTGCCTAAAGACAGAACGAGAACTCTTCGAAAGCGCTGTCGAGGCTCTTCAGGCAGAGATGAAGGAATGCGAAAGCGAGGAAGGCGAGCACCACGAAGACGGATCGTTCTCGAACCGACGGTCTTATAGTGAAGAAGATCTGAACCTGTTACGCACCTCGTTGCGTGCAACTGACGACTTTCTGAGTGGAAGGTGCATCTCAGGTACCGCCACACCACGAGGCACGTCCCGTCCGACCTCGCGTGTGAGCTCACGTGCGAACTCAAGACCATCATCGACTCATGTCTCGGAAGACGAAGATTATGGAGAACACAATCAACGATCGGTCACGTCCATCAAGTCGTTCTTAAACCTGACCAAACTTTCGATTCCGAAGCCAAAGCCACCACAAAAGACGAGAAAACAGACAGAGTTCGAGCAACGTCATTTACTGTTGACCTACCTCGATAGTCTGAGAGATCCCCTGATGGAGCTTTCGATCGACTGTGCCAGTGCTCTCGAATGTGTCAGTGACAGCATCACGAACGAATTCGATATGGATGCAGAGGATGATGTCTCGATTCGACAGACCTGGAAATCCTTCTTGTTTCACACCCTCAACATCACCAAGGACTCTGTCAGAAACGAAGAGCAAAAGACGATCGAAAGACATCGAGGGAACACAAAATGCGACTGTTCTCAGAGTATTCGTCTGGCCATCATTCAGTTTGACAAATCAGAAAGAAATCGCATGCACGCGCTCTATGATCGAATTCACTCTAAATCATTGGATCTTGGTATGCGACAAGAGCTTTTTCTTGTCTTTTTTTTCATCTTTACTATGCGTGAAGCCGCAAATGAGCTACAAGAACTGACGCTTCAGATGGATGAGCTAAGGCTGCAGTCAAGAAAGACAAGCTTTAGAGGTAAAAAGAAAAAGCACCTGTACATGCCTGTGCCAAGTATCAAGATGTGGCGCAAGTGGGCTAGTGGAAACAACCATCAGAGTACTAGAGATAAGGGAGGATACACATTAGGTATGGTTAATATGTGCTGTGTAAATAATGAATTGACATGATGATGTAGCTACCTTAACCAATCTGATACCCAAGGAAGAGCCCAAAAAGATGGTTCAGGAAGACGACTACATGCTAACCAAACTGCAGACCGATACTAGTCTGAAACCGACAAGAAGTAGAAGAAGCAGTGCAGGAGTGAACAATGATGATGCTTCACCCATCATGATCCGTCGTCGTCGTCAATCTAGTTTTCGGCGCGCTTCTGATACGAGTAATGATGCACCAAGAGATATACGCATCTTTGTCCCTGACGGTGTACAGCACACTGACCAGTCTCAGAAAACAAAGAATGAGGAAGAGGAGAAGGAAAAGTTGCCGATCATATTACGTATTCGTTATGGTATCTGGAAACAGCTTCAGTTCTTTACTAAATACGAGTTCAAATTTGCTCTCAAGATGGCTGTGGCTGTCATTGTATTGAGTGTTCCTGCCTTTGTGCCGTCTTCTGTAGATTGGTACTATAATATCAGAGGACAATGGGCACCTATGACTGTCATTGCCATCATGAACCCTACAAGGTATGTGTCACATTTCAATCTGTGTATCTGTAGATTAAACTTTTTTTTTGTTTTAGTGGTGGAACTTTGGAGGCTAGTTTCTGGCGTATTGTCGGTACAGTCGTTGGCGCCATGACAGGGTGGGCTGCATTAGAGGCAGGAGGCGGCAGTCCGTATCTACTTGGTATATTTGCTGTGCTTTTAGGTATAAACAAACAAATAAAAAATCTAAATTTTGGCAAGCTTGAAAACTCACGACACATAAAACTCTTAGCTCTGCCTTCCTTTTACATTCATTTGGGAAGCACATATAATAAAGTAGGTATCGTCTGTTTGACTACCTATGAAGTCGTTGCCCTGAGTCGGTTTGCATCTCCACCTCTAAATGAGACTATTGCGGAGACAGTCTGGTAAAGCTTTTTGTTGATGTCATTTTGTGAAAAAAAAAAAAGGAGACTGACTTGTTTTTTTATATAATTTAGGAAACGAACCTTGACACTTATTGTAGGTGTATGTGTTGCCTTGTTACTCAACTCGTAAGTTATATTTGATTTAAAAAAAGGAGATATTAAACTTGATAAAGGTTGGTTTGGCCATTTGTAGCGCGACATATGGTTCGTAAATCGATTGGAGCATGCCTGGCTCAACTTGAAGATTATTATATATTTATTATGGGATCTTATCTATACCACGACCCACGCTCGATACCCAGTACCGAAGATATCGTCAAAGGAGAAAAGATGGAAAGCAAGATTCAAAAGGCGATTGATGCATGCTCAGTTCTGCTAGAATTAACAGACAATGAACCTCGTATACGTGGGCCATTTCCAAAGGCATTCTATAAAGAGATTATTATATGCATGCGTAACTTATTAGATCGAATGTTGAGTACTCGAATTGCCCTCATCAAGATGCCATTGGTGGTGAAACATGACGTATGCGCAAAAGAGTATCATACAGAACGTCATGACATGGTATGTAATTAAAAGATACACGGCCCTCCCTCCGAGTTACTGATGACAAAAACAAATAGATTGCTGCCATGCTCTTGACCTTCCATACCTTGGCCATATCTTTGAAATCAAAGTCACCTTTACCTGTCTATATGCCATCACCACGATCAGCACGTGCCAAACTAATGGAGCATCGAAGAACGAGTAAGAAGCAATGGGTTAAATTTAGAAATTTGACTTGGTTTGCTATGGCTTCATCTACACAAGAAATGATTGATGAGTTAGAACATCTTACACGCTTAATACGATTTATCCTGGGTGAAAGTCCTTATGCGGATAGGGCCAAACAAATAGACGAATTCATTCATTATCCAGAGGAAGCCTTTAAAGAACATTGGCATCCATAATGCGCGCTTTTTTTTGGTGCATAAACGGGACTTGAACTATACCCAATTTTCATTGTTTGTATGTGTGTGCAGAAAGAGAATAAAGGGAGGTGTTGCTGAATTAGAAATAGGCTGCCCACCCACTTTTTTTTTATGCCTTATTGACAGGCATTTTACAAACTCATCTTTTTTTTATACTGATTAGCAATCTCTCTTTCTCTCTCTTATTTATATTATCTAATTAGCTTGGGCTTGATCTGACAACGATTATTGAAATGGCAGAATCTGCTTTTGAAGATCTTGATACCATTGTTGATAATGAAGAAAGAGAAGAACTTGTCAAGTAAGTCAAATAATAAAAGGTTATTGCAAAAGACTAAAATAAGGAAAAAGACGAGTACTTGAATTACAAGGACAGTTAAAAGGTAAAAAGCATGAATAAAGAATATTCTGAAACTAAATGAAAAAAAAAAGGAATGATAAATAAAGTGGACACAGCAAGGAATGAACATCAATCATTGTTAAAAGAAAACCAATTACTTCAAAAGTATATCAATAATTCCCTTACATCAACTGCTGTATTTGGTGCAACAAATGGAGCAGTGAATTCAAATAATATATCCTTGCGTCAAACAGATGCTTCTTCTCCTCATTAAGCACCCCCTTTTTTTTCAATTTATTAAGGAGCAAAAATATTGGCGCGAAAATTGCACAATCAATATCAAATATATATGTAATATTAATCAAGGTGGGAAAAGAAATAAAATAGGAGAAGTGTATATATATGGTAATCATAAAGATGCTCATTTACCATTCAAGCTCATTCTATTGTTCTGTTTCTTTCATCTTTTTCTCCTAATTGTCCATATAAAAAAAAAGGAGTCGTTTAGATTCCGACAGTGAACAAGTTGAGTCTCTTGACAGCGTGGCATACATATGCATAACATATGCAATATTATAAAATAGGAGGTGTAGTGATCCTCGTTTTAATACATGTTTGGACCAGTTTGAAAAAAAAAAGAGGTAATGAATTACACTATTTGTTTGGTTTCTTTCTTACACCCCCTCTTTCTTCTTTGAACAATAAGCTCCTTCGACTGTTTAAAGTTCTCCCTAAAACATTTTGTTCTTGCCCTTGCATATGCCTCCTAACTAAAAATGATTTTCTTTATCTGTGCGGTTTGTTGTTGTTGTTATGTGATTGCACTTTGTGTCGGTTGAGATGCAAGTTTTGTCAATTTATTATTTTTTTTTTTGTTTTGCCCTTCTCCTTAATTACAATTACTATTTGAATATTGAATAAAGAAAAAAAAATATACTTGTTTTCTACCTTTCTTTCTTTCTTTCATTTTACTATAATATATTATCATTTAATTCTTTTCTTCTTTATATAAATATACGCTTTTAATAGTCTAATTTCCCTCTTTCTTTTTATTTTAAATCATAAAAAGGAACTATTTATAATCGACGCAAGTCAAATTTGTTTACATTTATGATGATCAAAGACAATAAACCTATTTACGAACAACAACAAACACAAGATGATCCTGTTCGTGTATCTGTAAGCAAATCAGTTTATATTACATCCTTTTGTTTAACATTATTTTGCTTAGATGGAACCTTTGTATGAAAAACTATTAAAGAAACCATTCCCTACGAGCGCACTTGCTATTGAATACTGTCGTTCTGTCTGTGCTGACTTTGGTTTCACAGTCAAACAGGAAGCAAGTGCAAATAGAGTAAGTCACTACTAGATTCTCTTTATCCTATGCTAAATTTTATATCTTAGAATATCTACGTCTATTGTTCACGAGAGGGCCTGCCCGACTCTGTACGAAATCCAAAACCAAGCCCACAAAGGAAGAGACCCTCCAAGCGATGTGATTGTCGATGGCGCGTTGTCCTGTCAGAGAATGAACACAAACAATGGGAATTTAGAAAATCAATGAATCCTAATGCATCCGAACACAACCATGCCATGTTATCTCCTGATGAAATGGTCAAGGCTTGGCCATCCGAAGTGACTGAACTTATTGTCGAGCTTGCTCGCCAAAAGCTTCAAACCCACGAGATTAGAGAGACTGTCAGACAGAGGTATCCAAGTATCACATGGAACGAACGCAGGTTTTACAACAGGCTCACGGAGGAACGTAAACGTATTCGTCAGAGGAGTATCGTCGAGCGTGCTCAGCGACTTCTTCTCTTATCTGGTAAACTCTGTTCTGTCGCAGCAAGTAATGATGAATGGACCTTGACGGTTGAAGATAACCTGCAGCATATCTTTGTCAATTTATGCGAAAAAGCAAGACTATCACCAGATACATTATTGACAGACTTACAGCCTAATATGATACAATTAGAATCAGATCGCTGGTTACATGAATGCACCAAGGCTCCCCCATCTGAAGATCAAGCATCGCCTCCAACAAAGAAACGAAAGACATCTGCCAACCAATCCACTCCGGACCTTCCTTCTTCGCCTGAACTTGCCAAGGGTATCCAGTTGGTGCATGTTCCGAGCTATAGTCTTCAAGTACATCTGTCACGTCCGTTCACAGACAAAAGACTGCCCACTAAACCACAATCGAGTTGCGTTGTCCTAGAGAACCAAACGCCTCCTCAAGCTTTTTCGTCTTCCTCTGCATTCTACCCTCTGGCTTCACCTACATCCACATCATCAACAGCCACATCATCCTCTATGCCATTTCCAAAACAAGCCAGAACTATCATGACATCTCCACAACAATCTGTTGCACATAATGAATACGCCATATCCTATCCACCTCCCACCTACAGCGGTTTACAATCCTCCTTTCCCTATAGCTCATTCACAGCCACCTCACCTCCAGATCTTCCCTTTTTTGAATCTGGCATAATGCACATGCAAAGAGAACGAGAACGAAATGCTGTTCATTTTTATCCCGTCATTGAGAAGGAACAGCAACAGCAGCAGTCATACGATCAACGCATGCAACATACTTACCCTCAGCCAGTTAGCAATTTTTCATTACCCATGATTCGCTCTAACGAAGAACCTGTTATCCCAGAAACTGCAAGTCAGTGGAACTAAGTTGATATTACTTTATTACGTCATTTATGCAAAAGAGCAATATAATTTTATGTTGAATTATGCTGTTTATATTATATATAAATTTCCCTTTTCTTATATAAATATGTCATTATATATATGTATGCGTGTGTATGTGTGCGTGTTTCTTTTGCAATAGTTTTAATAAGTGAAAAAAAAATGGGAGGACCGCTCGTTTATAGCGCATGATAACAAAGGGCTTCTTTACTATACTAGCCTTATGCATGCCAAGAAGCGGACTCAGCACATTCCGACTGTCTGGATTAGTATACCTACATCCAATCAATTGTGGGACCTTTCAGAATAAAATTACTTTTTTAAAATTAAACTGATGCTCTTTACGATGAGTCTCATAATAGAAGTTATCACAGTATCAAGAAACGATTTGCGCTCGATTGTATCGTCAAATATTACATGACTTGTGTTTTAAAGCAGTAAAGAATATCAAAGTCTTTTTTTTTTTTCAATTAGGAGGGATTCAATTTCATTCTTTGACTGCTTTCCTCATGAACATAAATCACTTGTCAAACAAAGTAATAGCATTCGATATATAGATGAAGAAGATCCCCCACTCTGATTTCAAGAAAAACCATCACTCTTTATTATTACAATAGTAAAAAAACTTTAGATCAACGCAAAAATTTACTAGATTGAGTTAAATTTTAATTTAGTCTCCTTTTTGTTAAAAGGTAAAGTGTCATCTGCTCTTTCATGCATAACCAAGACACGAATATCATATCTCTATTTGGGAATACAACCTTTTTAGAAAGTAAAGTCGCATTTTTGCAGTTTTTATAATACAATTTATACGAAAAAGCGACAAGCCAGCGCGACATATCTTTTTAAAAATAGTGTATAAGGGCCACACTACATGTATAAACGCTCATCATCTTTTTATCATTTAAATAATCTCTTTCTAAATGTGCCAAAGACATAATTCCAAAAACTTCACCTAGATGCAGAAGTCTTCGGACTCAAAGTGTCTGACATTTTTTCGTGAAGGTCAAGAGAGAGATAACTCTCTCTTTCGATAACGAGTCACTCATCACCATGACAAAAAGAAACTCCGTAGACTCAAGTTATCTCCTCCTTGACAAAGCATTCAAATGGAGCGTGAATTATGTCGGTGTAGTACTTTTTAACTATATTCTTCAACTTGTGGGGTCATTTGTGCTATTCAATTGTATCAATTCAATAATACAAGTATGTTTGATGAGCAGAAGAAGATGTATTGTAAGGAAATAGACTCAACATGATCGTCTTTGAAATGAACTTTCTAAAATTGGTATGTGCTCCTATTTTGTCAAGCCATACGTCAAATCATTATTCTCGGTAGATAATAAGCCCACTTTACCATAAAGTGTATCCTCTACCCTCTCTCTCCGTCTTGACATAATGTGTGTATGTGTGTACCTGTGTATACAGCTATATACACATATGTATTAATAGAAATAAACATATCTCGATCTTAATCTTACATAAAATTAAATGACTTGACTATCGTCACGTATTTTTTTTCTCATTTTCTTAATGTCAACACCAACAAAAAAGCCAGCCATCTATGAAGAATCAACTCAATATCAACACTGGCGGTTTAGTCCAGAACAGCTCTGGACTATTCGTAATAAACGAACAGAAGAAGCTATTGATCGCGTAAAGAAGAACCAAAAGAAGGATTCAGTAAGTTTGTTTATATTATTCAATGAAATTGCTAATGCATTTCCAAGGAAGTAGACGACGAAAAGTTTCTTTCAGCAAAAGAAGAACTGGCATTATGTCGGTTTTATGAAAAACAGTTGGAAGGCATGTGCAAGCATTTGAAATTCAGTGATATGGTCATGGCAACAGCTGTGATCTATATGAAGCGATTCTTTTTATACAATACTGTTATGGATTATCATCCCAAGGATATCTTGTAATGTGATCTCTGTTATATGTTTAAACACATCTCACCCCTTTTTTCTTTAGTTTGACTTGTCTGTTTCTAGCTACCAAGTCAGAAAGTGAGAGAATATCAATAGAGGATTTCGGAAAGTCGCTGCGACTCCCATCTACAGAAGGTGTACTCAACCTAGAATTCACAGTCTCTCAGGGACTCAAGTTTCAGTACTATGTACATCATCCATTTAGACCGGCTTATGGCCTATTTTTAGATATGCAACAGTCTGTTGATATGAAGACGCTAAAATTAGTGTATAAACATGTCGTGAACCATGCTATTCCTGATATGCTGCTAACGGATCTACCGCTGATTTATCAACCCTCTCAACTTGCACTTGCAGCCTTCATGATTGCTAGCAAAGATCATGCTGGATTCCAAGATCAGATTAAGAATTACATACAAGAAAAGTTTAATGAGTCAAATTCTGCAAAGCTGCTCAGTATCATTAATGGAATCATTGAGTTATTCACAGAAGATCATAAACCGGTATTACAAGACGAAGCAAAGAAGATTGATTATCGTCTACGTCTGGTGACCTATCCAGATACAACCCTGTAAGTTATACATATATGCATTCATTAAAGATTTGTTTTATTAACATTGTAGTAGAAACAAGAAGCGTTTAGCAGAAAAGAGTAATGAAGAAGAGGATAAAAAGAAGAAGGCCAGAGTGGATTAGTGTTTCTGTTTCTTTTTGTTTGTTGCATTATGTTTAACTGCGCAATGTTTACAGAACCATGCTCCTTTTGGCCGCGAATCTAACCCAACACATTCATAATGAAACCATTCGATCTCACACTATATCTTTGAACTAAGTATATACATATACACAATAAAATAATTGACTTACGCCTGGGTTATCACAAGCAACCATTTCACCAAAAGAGACTCGTTGACAATAACAATAACGTGGTTCATTTGGATCAATAGGCATGTTACTGAAGGAGATTTCCCTAGAATATAATGGATTAGCATTCTATATTTCTCTTTTTCTTTTTTCTTTTTCCTTACTTTTGTAAATCATCAGAAGAATAGCCTTCTTCGCTTGTTTTTTTCTTTCTGCCTCTCCTTGATTCACCTTGAGAAGGTTTTATTGATTCATATTGAGCATGTTCATACATTCTATGTGTTGGTTCCAGTAACTGCTGTTCGGCCTCTATTCTCTCTAAATCATTATCTAGTTTTGTACAGTGTCGATCAACAGAATCATAGGTTGATTTAGCCAGTGCATATTTTTCTTCTCCTTTATTAATCACTTCCTTTAATAGATTGCTAATATGCTCTAATTTTTTCTTTCTTTCTTTTGGTGATAAATCTTTCCCTGATGCTGTTATCAGCATTGTTTCTTTTTCTACTTGACACATCAGCTCTTCTGCATTATCATCTAGTTGTCGTATGAGGGTATAATTTCGTCGTAATTCAAGAGGTAAATCTTCCACAGCTGTTGTTGTAATTAATAAAACCTGTAATAAAAGAAGAAAAAAAAATAATGATTTGCTTACTATCAGAGTATTCGCCGAGAAAGGCAGCTGTCAATGGTGGTTCTTTTGTAGTTTTTGTCATTTTGTATAATGAAAAAGAAATTAGAAGCCTATGTGTAGTCATTCTACATCCCTTACAAAAATACGGTCACGCATTGAAATGCAACTGCATGCTTATTTTTAAGAGCGGTTTTGCTACATCTTCTAAAGTAGCTAAGCTTGAAAACATAATATTTAATTCTTTACTGCTGTCAGATGTATATTTCTTCTCTTATGTGAGATATTTCTTTAACTTGAAACTTTTTTTTAAATATTATGAACTTGGTGTTATCAATGCTTGAATATGATACAGATGATACGGCTATTCAGCTTTGTGTGATCAAAAGTCATGGCATATAACTCAATGGCCATCACCGTTGCAAAATATGCCTCAAGATTCACCACCATCTCTTTCTGATCCTTGCATTTCATTATACAGGCATGTCTTGTTATTTTTCCAATAAACTGTAGTGCAAAATTTTATATGCCTAAAAGAAACCTACAGTCGCTCATCCAGAGTCATAGTAGCACCATCATAGTTACACCTCAAGTGAAGAGTATAGAAAAAGAAGAAAAACTGTATTTAAAATGTTGTTAAGCTTCTATCAGTAAAGAAAAGAACAAGTGTAGCTACGATTATGCATTAAACAAAATGATGAATAGACTCTTTAGCTTCCATTTGTATACGTAATTTTCATTCTGTTATAAAGTATTGATCTTGTTGTGCGAATAATTTTCATGTATAAAATAGATGTATGTATATGCCTGATGACATTGTTGACCTTTATTTTCAAACTGCTTAAAGAAACGTTCAGCCCTTTCATGGTTCGATAACACAAGCAGAAATCGGACTTTTTCTATTAGAATTGTTGTCCTACAGACTTTAAAGTGTTTCACACTGTCATAATTATCAGATTTTCGCACATAATAGAAATAAAGAGTTTAAGGTGAAAGGCGAAAAGAGAAAAAGAAAAAAATGATACCCTCATCAATTTATATAGTTTATAACTTTTTTATGTGATCATTTCTTTCATTTGTATATGCAAACCTGTATTGTCATCTAACAAAAAAAAAAAATCTGATAAAAACAATTCCCGACGACCCATTCCCTCTTTCTTTTTTCTTTTTTCTTCTTTCTACACAATTATGTCATCCATTTTGAATACAATCAGCACTTATTTTTCCGGTGGAGAAACAAAGAAAGAAGAAGCAGTCGAGGTTGAGCCTGATCAGTTACCACCTGAAGATGTCGTTATACAAGATTGCAATAACTGTTCTGCTGATTGCGACGATCACCAAACCTATCCTTCCTATCTTCAATTCGATACCGAGTCACCTTTACTAGGTTCAATGTCACCTTATGGACGACACTTGATGATCAGTACAGCTCAGTGTGATTGGGCAGAACGTATAGAAGAAGACGAAGGCACCCTTGCTGCCGAATTGAGTGCCATGATCAAGGCGAACCCTATGCCCTGGCGTACGTTTATTACCAACACATCTCATATTCCCACACACTCAACTACTGTTCAATGTGCGATGGATGTGATCATCTTGCCAGATAACATCGTCGTCGGTAATGTCACGGCTGATGACGCTCAAACCATCTATGACGTCTTTGTGAAGCGGCCCTTGCCTGAAGGACCACTAGAAGACGTGAAAGAGGCGTTCAAATCGGTTGATCTAAAGGAACTTGGTGTCTATCCAAACCCATATGAATCAATGATTCTCATTTGTTCACACAGAAAGAGAGATAAGCGATGTGGTATCACAGCACCGATCTTGAATCGTGAGTTTGATCATGTCTTGAGAGATTTAGACGTTCATGATGGAGAAGGAGGTACGACTGTCTTGATGGTGAGCCATGTTGGAGGTAAGTGTGTTATGACTCTTGTGACCTAAAGTTTTAAGATGTGTTTTGGAAAAAAAAGGTCATAAATTTGCGGGAAACGTTATTTGCTATATCCACAAGGGTCAGACAGGTATTTGGTATGGCCGTGTCAAGTCATGTCACTGTAGATCGATTGTAGAGGAGACGATTTTGAATGGAAAAGTGATTAAGGATTTGTATAGAGGATGTATGTCCAATAGCTTTAAAGAAAGTAAATGTAACAGAATAAAATGGTGAAACAGTGACTATTTAGGAAGACAATGCTCACATGAACGGGTCCGATCATGTAGTTCATGAAAACATCATGATCTCTCTATATGTCAAATATTTATATCTCTTGATGCGGGCAATGCTCTTGTGCTTATACAGAGAGAGAGAGTGTGTGTGTACTATGAGATATAGAATGCAGGAATCCTTTTTATTTTCGAGCGAGGGACAGCTGAATGTTTACGCGTTCCTTTTTGTATAAAGGATGACTGTATTGTAAAGTGAAATAGTTTCAAAGACAATAAAGAAAGAGATGCATATTCACTTACCGAACAAATATTTACCCTATTTTTTATTTACAGATCAGTAAAGATCAAAAAGATTTGTCTATGAGTAAACAAATAAGTGAGAAATGCTAATGAAACTGGTTTTGTCTCTTTCCTTCTCTAGTCCAGGGCATGGATCGTGGATAGCTATGGTGCAGTGAAACGTCAAATGACCTGTCTGTAGTGAACCAATACGGATTGTTTTTTTTAAAAAAAAACAATCTCTTTTCACCAAAGTAAACTACTGACAAGGGGGAAAATATGTTTAAACATAATGAATCATTTGTGCCATTCAGAGTACATGTCAACAAGACACTTCCAAAGAAAGAAAGAAATGGTAAAAATAAAGTGGCTGTTGTCAGTGTCACAAACTGAGGCAAAGGATCAGAGCTTCCGAGTTATGGGAAAAATATATAGAAAAAAAAGAGAGAAGATCCAGAACGGAAAAAAAAATGGATACATCTCTTTTTGTTGTTGTTGAACTATTCACACATTCTATTTAAGAGAAAATATAAAACTAGAAAAGTTATCATTTATTTTCACAAGCATGGATGTTGCTAGAAATTGCTGCCAAGAATAGAAAAGCACAAGACTCGTAATAATAATAAAAAAAACATCACCTTTTTTTTGCAAATGCGTGAGAGAGAGAAAGGAAGAGAGAGAGAGAAGGGTACGCGCCCTCTTTTTTTTTGGCATTAACAGTTGATTATAAAAAGTGAAAATCACAATAAAGTATCGGATTGACACGTGTAAAGAAGCAAAGAGACACAAACAGACAGAGACAGAGAGAGATAAAGAGAAAGAGAGAAACATAAAGAAATGAGGAGATTGTGCACCCCCCCTTTTTTTTTTTGAGGCATATTTGAGCATATATATTTTAAGCACATGCTGTCCCCTTTTTTAGAATCAATAAATCACCTCTCTTTTTAAAATAAATATAAAAGGCACCCATCAACCTTATTTTTTTTCCTTTCCCTTTTTCTCTTTCTCTTTATTAACAAATGAACAATCAACGAGAACCCAACAAGATACCCTCTATTGTAAAACAGCTTTTACAGTCTGTGCTACCCAATAATAAACCAACATCAGTACCTATCGAAGCAAAAAGTCCATTTGAAGAGCTTTATTTCTCATTTCCTGCATTAGAAGACGATACTTCATCAATATCAAGTAATAACACATTAGCGACTCATTGTGGACATCAACATCATAAAACAAATAATATGAAAGCATTATGTTGATCAACTAGATATTTTACGCACACACATATATACACACACATATATATATAATATATATATATATATATATATACCACGAATCTATACCCCCAACATGTCTCTCTTTCATTCCTTTCTTTCTTTACTCTTTATTTATTATTATTATTTGTACAGCATAAATAAACTCTTTCATATAATATGTCATTAAAGTATGTAAATGTGTTTGATAAACAAGATTATCATTAGAACAAAATTCTAGGTCCAAACTATTGTATCACATCAGTTTCTAGTTGCTTTTTATGGCGGATATCAAACTAAGTCATCTTTTTCTTTTATTTTTCTTTTTTTTTTTTTCTATTTCTATTTGAAAATATGACTAACCAACCTATCGTATTAATCACTGGCTGTTCAAGTGGAGGCATTGGTAAAATACATGAAAGGATGTATAATAACAAAAAAGATTGACATACACAGGCTATTCACTTGCAAAGGTATTTGCCAAAGAAGGAAATAAAGTCATTGCTACTGCACGTCGCGTCGAGGCCATGGAGGGGCTGGAAGGTGTGTTTATCATGCATACATTTGTTTATGATATATTAATCTATTGTAGAATTTGGTTGTGATAAAGAAAGATTAGATATTATGAGTCAAGAATCAATCGAACGGGTTGTCGAGGTATATATATATATATGACATAGAGAGAGAGTAACATTTAGAGATATCTTGTAGAATGTCATTGCCAAATATGGACATATAGGTAAAATAAACATGAAACACATTAGACTAAGAATTGATAATATTTGTTTTATAAAGACGTCTTGGTGAATAATGCAGGAGTGCCGTAAATAGAGATTTTGCTGTAGGACCTTCTTTATTATTAATCATTTACTAGTGCCGTAGGTGCTCTACTTGATATCGATTTGGATAAGGCTCAACAATGTGTAAATACCAATGTGTTTGGTACCCTTGCTATGTGTCGTGCTGTTGCTGTTCACATGGCCAAGAGAAAGAGGGGTAAGATCGTCAACATTGGTTCTGTGGTAGGATACACGAGTACACCTTGGGCTGGTAAATGAAAAATCAAAGCGAAAAGAAAATGTATATTTTGTATATATCATCTAACCATTGCTTTCAAAGGTATCTATGCTCTCTCTAAGGCTGCTGTTCATTCTATGTCGGATACCTTGCGTATGGAACTGAAGCCCTTTGGTATCCAAGTCACTGTTGTTGCTCCAGGTAAAAAAAAGAGAGGGAGAGAGAGAAAGAATCAATAAAAGATGGGACTTATTAACGCTGTACTTATTAGGCGCCATTCGATCCAACATTGGAGCAGCTGGAGAAGCAGGCAATCTTGTGCCAGAAGGTAAGCATCAAAAATATTATGCGAGGGGAAAGGGGATTCTAATATGTACGGAATAGGCTCCCTTTATGCACCCGTCGCCAACTACATTATTGCCAGAGCATCCTTATCTCAAGGTAACTCAAAATGATGGGGAACAACGTGTGGTGACTCTAACATGATTACTCTAGGTCCTCACTCTACTCCAACTGAAGTTTTTGCATCGCGTGTCGTCAAGAAAGTCAGTCAAGCTACAGCGCCTCGTTATATTACTACGGGTGCCATGTCATGGATATTCATCGTCCTTTACTATTTCCCCTTGTTTATTAAGGAATTTTTCTTTAACAGACGTTTTGGAGTTTTTGATTTAGAAAAGAAGACGAAATAAGGCTTTACAATAAATCTTGGCAGATAATTTGGTACAAAATTTATGTAGTCTGGCAATAAATTGCATAATAAGTAGGGGATAAAGGTGGTCTTTGCATGTTATGATTGATCATAGACAAGATTCTTTTTTAAGATATAGTTTGCATAAATCTTGTGTTTATGAAGAAAGGAATGAAGACAAGTGTCCACTTCATAAACCAGGTATATGAGCCAGTTCTACTAACCTTCTGCAAACATCTAGATAGTCCTATGTCATGGAAGATGGAGCACTCATTCATAGAGCGAAAATTGCTGCAGAATAGAGGGAGGCAAAGGGTATAAAGAATATGTCATGGCCAACTCAATCGTCGGATTTAAATTCCATTGAAAATCTGTGGAGCATGATGAAGAAGAGGTTTAATGCTCTATGCCCTCATGCTAAAGCACAACAAAGCATAGAACTAGCTTTGGAGAGTGTTTGGAGGGAGTTTACTCCAGAAACCATCAACAAGCTAACTGATTTCATGCCGAGAAGGGTCAAAGATGTTATCAAAGCTCGTGGCGGACCCATCAAATATTAAATCAATAAAAAATACAAAAGTCGCTTCACAGCTCTCATTTTTTTAATACTCCAATGTAAATGACCTTTATTCTCTTCTCTTATAACTGTAATAGAGCTACAAAAGAGTCACTTTCTTTACTGCTTAGTCTTTAATGACAACAAAAAATGAACTTTTAAAAAATGACAACTATCTTTTGGAAGGTACTGTACATTACCGCCTCGAAGTTATCTATAAACACTACATATCTGCCCTTCTGATGATCACAAGACGCGATAACAAACAGGAGCGGGAGTATGGCGGTTGCATATTTTTGAAGTAGTTCTTTTTGCGGCCTTCAACGAGGCATTGCTTTTTTATATTATTGAATTGTAGCTGACGTCAGTATCTTTTTTTCTTTGCTTTGCATTTCTGTGACAACACTACTGATAGTTTTTCTGATTCACTTCATTTTTTCTGCCATGGTTTTAAAACGCCGTCTGCTCTGATTCGTGTCATCCGTACTATCTTATCTGCACTATCCGTATCATCTGGCGTGTTTGATGAGATAATCTTACAGTAGAACATACATTCTACTTTACATTCTTCTATCGCATCTGATAAAAATAACTTGTAATAATAATTACTATAGTAGCTACTATAGAGCGTACAAGAGCCTTTTTTTTAATCATATTCAGTTCTTCTTTTTATAAAGAATGTAATTTGCAAGCTATCGACTTAATGGCTTTTTACAATAACAAACCTGAATACAACAGCACTGCTTCTAACACGTCAACAGTGCTCTGTAATTAGTTACCCTTACGGTGACAATCCGCTGATCAAAACATTATATCGTATCGCAAACGACTGCGTCGCCACGGAGGCAACGCTAGAAGAAAGCTTTGTAGAAACGTTGACTTTCATTTGCGCCACAAATGAAAGAGTACTGTGCTCAGTAAAAAAAGACATTGAGCACTTTCCGGCTTGTCCAAAGCTGTTAAGTAGTTGGATCGCGGTATAAGTTTCAACAAAAAACTTAAATGTCGATACAGAAAGCAAACAAACGACAACGACAGTGAGTCCTCCTTGAACTTGCCTCTCAGAGCGTAATTAGGGAAAAGTAATAATGGGACGACAACCTCGTCGAAGACGAAATTAAGTTCGTTGTCCAATTTATAAATAGTTGCCATAGAAGGATGAGCTGGCAGCAGTGTCTCATGGAAGGCCACAAAAGAATTACTTTAGAAGATATGCAACAGGAGAAAACCTGTGTGTTCAATATGGCAAATATAAAAAAAAATACAAAAACAAAGAGCTTAGTTCTTTTTTCTTATACCATATCCCCGCTCCTATTTGTTGTTGCGTCTTGTGATTTTTTTTTAATAAATATCAATCGTCAGAAGGGCAGATATGTAGTGTTTATAGATAACGTCGAGACGGTAATGTACAGTGTCTTCCAAAAGATCATGACCGTTTTTTAAAAGCCAATTGTTTTTTGAAAGATGTTCGATGAATAAGACGATATCTTTCCTTTTCTTTCATATATTTTTCTCTCATAACAGCCGTGTTTGCTACTCTTTGAATGACCATTCGAGCTGGTTCATCATGCTCTCAGGTCTGAGCGGTACGATTGCAACCGTAAGTTTAGATACAGAAGGCTTCTACCTTGCTGTAAACCAGTACGATCTCCATTTCCCCAAAAGTACATCCGAGCTTCCACAGTTCACAAAGACATTGTAAGTAGCACACACGCTTTTTGTAAGCTATATGTACATTCATTATGTACGGTGGATTACAGTCTGATGAATATCCATATAAGTAAAGAATTAGTTGCATTTATTCTTGATTGCATAAATTTTACGTAGAATAATGATCAGCGATTTGCGCGCTCTTTCTTTCTTTAGCTTTTTTTAGTAGCAAATAATGACTTGATATGATGCTATATATATTTCACCTATTTCTTTCTCTTTTTTAACACTTATCAATGCTATTCCATATTCAATCCATAAAAAAAAGGACGATAACAAGTGCGTCGACAACATTCAATAGAACAACAAATGCACTTGTAAGGCATAAGTCCACTGCACCGAGAAATCGATCTCTCTTTATGCTTAAAGACTATAAACTATGGGCTGGATTGCTTTATACGATGAATATTACTGCATTTAATGCCATTTATGGTCACTATATCACAGGTATTTCCCCTTTTTATTTATATTGTTGCTGTTTTATTTATGGCTTAGAAAGGACCTGCTGCCAAATCTTGGTCGCTCTTTTCAGACATCACATTCAACACGGTTCACAGTTTCATCAACAGGTCGAGTTCATTGACAGTAGAAGATGTGCAACGACTTAGCATGGCATTCAAATTTCCTGTTTCACCATTTCTAAAGCGGACCAAGTTTACTGTTCCAAACGAATACAGAAAACGAGCTGGCGATCTACTCGAATCTTTGTTTAGTGATGAAGAACAGCAACGTATTGGCTGGGACTGGCGTAAAAAGCGAGATACGGATACGGAAATCACAGGTGAATGGCTTCAAAGAGTAGGAAACCCATTGGACCCTTGTAAGGAGAGTGTTGTTCTTTATTTGCATGGTGGGGCATACTACCTTTGTAACTATGAAATGTACAGACCCTTCTTGACCAAGTTGATCAAGGTAACATATACTACTTGCGCTACCAAAGTGATAGTAACTTCTTGTAGTATTCCAATTGTCGCACCTGTTCTATTAATTATAGACTAGCTCCACAAAATCCATTCCCAGCAGCTCTAGAAGACGCATTAGCTACCTATCTTTACCTTACTCAGCCTCCAGAAGGTGAGGGACTCCTACCGACGGATCCTAAAAAGATCGTTATCTCTGGTGATTCAGCTGGCGGTGGACTTACCATGGCGCTCTTACTCGCCATTCGAGACGCTGGCTTACCTCTTCCCGCTGGAGCCATGCCGATGTGCCCATGGTAAAAAGATTTATATTTCCCTTGTACTGTGTGTTTTTGACCATATGATAACATAATGTAGGGTTGATCTAACTCACTCACTTCCTTCCATTCTGTTGAACATGATGACAGACTTTCTACCAGCAGTTGGATTTAAACATGCACCTTCACCAGCATTAGATTATGCACAGCTTCCTCAACGACAGCAGGATACCAAGATGCTAGAAGAAGCGAGTAAAAAGGCCAAGGAGGCCAAAGATAAACATAAACTGACAATCCCAGAAGACGAAGACGACGCAACTCAACATAGAGAATCCATCGGTCCATTTGGTATTCCTGTACCGCACACAGATGATGACAACGACATGTATCGTGTCCAATTTTATGCACCAAATGAAGCACTCAAACTGCCAATGGTTAGCCCTATCTTTGATAGACGTCGATTAAGAGGGCTTCCGCCTCTTTTGATTGTAAGTTGATGACTTTATTTTCTTCTTCTAAAGCTTACGGCACAACTCTATAAAGCAATGTGGCAAGTCCGAACGACTCCGAGATGAATCAATTTACCTTACCCTCCAAGGAACCGGCACATTCCCCGATAAGAACGATAAACAGTACGGGAAATCGACAAAGATCACCTTGGAGATCTTTGTGGACCAGCCGCATGTATTTCAAGTGATGTTTATGTGGACAAAGCCTACAAAACGAGCAGTCCGAAACCTTGCAGCATTTTTAGCAGAAGTGACTGGATCACCTGCGAACGTACGTAAAGGTGGAAAGTATCTCTCGGATCAATTACTGTCCGTGAAAGAGATCAGTCCGCGGGGAGAAATGGTAGATGCAAAGACGAGGCTGTTGGAAGAAGTAAATGAGGATACATGGAATAAATGGAACACTAGATTGGCAAGACCAAGCATCAAGGAGCGCATAGACGAAGTACGCGCATATTACCATCAGCTAATAGATCAAAAGACATAAAGTGTGCTCTAAAAAGGGGTTCTTGTGTATCTTTTTATGAAGTTTTGTATTTTAAAAATAACTTATTGCAATGCACGATGAAAAGGCCTACATTTACATACATTGTTTTAAATGGTTCTTCCTTTTTTAACTCAAAATAAAGCTGACCCATCCTAAACGGACCCTGACCTGATCAAATATTTTGTCACCAGTCTTTTTGTTATTTCTATTTCATGTATCCAAATATTTATCACGGTCGAGTTCGGAAAGGATGATCCCCTTTTTATGTATCAGTTATTTAAAGACAATTTGTAACAAACAATAATTCCACATCAAGTTGTTGTCTTGTTAAAATCTGGTACCTTTTAGCTACAGGTCTCTTCAATCGAAGATATTAAGAGGAAAAGTATCTCGAGTCATATCCTAGACATCTAATGCCTCACTTCTTTCGAAAAAGCACGCCATTAGTTACCTTATATGCATAAGCCATAAATTATATCAGTTCCCCTGCCTTTCCTTTCAAGTATGCTGCCATTGCGCGTCTATTTGTACTATAAACTACATTTACTATTATCTCAAAAGATAACTGATTACGTATACTCAATGCTACATAAAGGATCGACTACATCATATTACACATATCCTAACTAAACATCATACCTTGATGGCTTTATATTCTTTATGTTCTTCATAATATGCTCTACTTGTCTTAATCTAATTTATTCTCATATATCTTAGCAACATATTCAGCTCACAGTAATAGATTATGTCACGTATACAATTATGCAGTAACTGTTTGTCCATAATAAATGATGATAATAATTCCGACGCGCTTACACCAAGCCATCCTCCCTATATATATTTTTGAATTTATCCGAACTGACCATAACACCGCGCGATTCAGCCAAGTGACAACACCGGTGACACAAGCATCTTGATGGACAACTTGTGTCTCCGTAAACCAAATTATCAAACAAAGAAAACAAAAACAAATAGGAGATTTGCTCAGCAACGTACCAAAAAAAAAGGAGGATCCAAAAAGGTGGCGTTGCTTATTTGTCGAAAAGAAGATACCCAGAATATGCAAACCCATGTGAGGGTCTATTTTAAGTATAGCTTACAAAATTGGTTGCACCCGCGCTTCATCATGCAGTCGTGTAAATAGAGCGTGTTTAAAGTAATGAAGTAAAGTCTAATTTAAAATAACTAATCATTATCTTAAAGACAATATATTTATTTATAACAAATGGTACAATTCATGAATAAATATAATTATATACAAATGGCATTAATGAATGGGGGAATATTAAGTATACTGTTTAGATAGAGAAACGACGGGTAAGACCAGTTTCCCATTGATCATCATAGAGATAGGATTCTTGATGTGATTTATCTTGTAATGCATTATAAGCCAACTGAAAGGCAGTAGACACTGTCTCGAAATAGAGAAATCCACGTACTTCTTCCTTTAATTCACGATCCTTGGGTTCATCCAAAACAACAGTAAATGGCACTTCGAATGCATTATCCTGTAAGACCAGCCTGGTGCGTCCTTCTGAGAGGGCTTCAAGGCGTACTTGGTTTCTATCATCAAATCGACACATACCCTTTGAACCATCAGGGAGATCCTGTTCAAACCACCACACAGGTGAGACCGTGCGACGGATATGTTTGTTGAGTATGAATGTACGTCCCATCGCAGGAGCGCTTACAGTACGAAGGGTAGGCATGGAAGAATGATGTTCTTTGATTGGAAGAGAGAACATGCTACGTCTGTCCTTTTTGGGTATTGTTGATTTAAAGACGACTGTACAAGGACCAAGAGATGATTGAGAGAGGATACAGTCAGATTGTGTATGATAGGCATTTTCAAGAACGTATTGGCTTTGATCGTCAAAACGAGACCATTCATGATTCAATTGGTTGACAGCAGCGAGGTTTGACTGGAAGTACCAAACGGGTTCGAGCGTACGAAAGATGCCACGAGTATGGTCCATTGGAAGCTGGGTAGGCGTCTGTGGTGATGATGAATCAGAATCTGAGGATAATGAAGACATGGAAGGTGAATAGGTTGGATGATTTGAACTTTTCTTGGAAGGACATTTGCTTTTTCCGAATAGAGTCAAGAATTTCATTTTATTATACGCGTAAAGAATTAAAACGAAAGAAAGGGGGGAAGAATAAATGGCTACTATTTATATACACCTTTGTCACGGAGTATAAAAGAAAAAAAAACAATAAAACGGAACCGATCCTTCTCTGCTTCTGCCTTTTCTCTCTCTTTAATTTTCTCTCATGCTTCAACATATAAAATTGATAAATGAAATATAAAAATAGTAAATAATAAAAAGGCAAATGTATGCGTTAATCAGTTGTAAAATGAATAAAAAAATCTTGCCTGTTTACTTCATATTCATTTTACACCCGAGCCAAGGATTTTTATCCCATATATTTTACTCCTTCGTACAACAGCCCCTTGATGTCCGCTCGTCATCTTTATGGAAATATACGCAACCCGATAGGGACAGAATTTTGTTCCCAGTAAAACCACATAAAAATGATGTCAAAATGTTCATTTCTTAAAATAACAGTAAATGGTGTTTGAAAAAGTTTTTTTTTCATATTCTCTAAAAATAAACTCTGTTCGATCCCCTTCTTTCATTCAGCCCGGGTCTATTTGGACTTCTTTGCCAAGATGTATATAAAGAGGCTAAGCACTTTCATTTTTTCATTTATCTCGATTTAGAATTCACCACGTTGCTAAGCAAATTGTCATAGTAGCTTGAATGGCTTAGTCCAATCAAAATGAAAAGCCTACTTTTTTTGTATCGGCGGCCAATCAGGGGGAACATGAGAAGGAGGCAAAGCGCAGTGTCGATACTTTAATTGATTGAATAAGGTAGTAGCTTATTTACACGTGTCTCTGACAAGGAAGAGGTTTGCAGTCTATCAGAAATACCACTATACTCGGTTTTCATTGGACAATGAGGCTTTTTGGACAGATTTAATCTTAAAAGAAGGAACCGATTATTCTTTTTACACTGTTCGGGATATGGAAAAGGTGCTTTTTTCGCTTAAACTATCTTTTGATACGCTCTACTCTCCCTTTTGTCTGTAAAGCATCTTCTTTTTACTCCTTATATCTAAAGTTAAGTGTTTTTTGCAAGTAGTAGATTCTGAATATCGTTGTTGCATTTGTCTAGAGATCAAGAATATTTACATTATCAGAACATTCCGCAGCCATTTGTTCTGCTATCACTCATATTAATAATAATAGCATGCATCAATTGTTTTTGGATGCACCAACTTTAAATGATGCCAAGATATTCCATGATATGTCACAAAAAAAGAGCTTTATTCAAAAGCCGGCCATAATACGCGTCATTCATATTCGGCACCATTAATATCACTGTTAATATCGAGATTCGGCCAGCAATTGAATAAAACCGAAATCATAGCCTAGGTTCGGTTAAATAAATTTACCTTTTGAGATGGTTTGATTTAGGTTGTACAGAATTTACTTTATCCTCGGCTCTGAAAAAAAAAAAGACAGAATGATGTAAAGCTTACTAAAATGTATAACAGCCGATCTTAATAATCATTCATTCCGTTTACGCGTACACGCATTGTCCATTGACCTTTGATGACACGTTACTATTGGTAATAAAGATGGGTAGCTTGGTATGGATGCACATGCCTCCTATAAAACAATCAGAGATTCTTAAAAGTTGACTTCTGTAAACTTTATGCCTGTGTAGCCTCAAATCTTACTGAACTTCTTGCAGATGGCTTTTTAAACAAGAAAAAGGGGGCTCTATGATAGAGCTTTGATCTACAAACTGCATAGATACAAAAGTGAGCATAGAAATGAATATGTGCTTATAAATCATCATATGTCATCAAGGTACCTTGACTTTATGCTTTCAGTGGCATCAGAAAAATCGGGATTTACAACTGGAAAACTTTTTACAGAAAACGCACGATATACAGTCTTTTATCATAATGCTCTTACGTGATCTTGATCGCTGTCATTTTTTTTCTTTATTAATCGAATTTGTACAACGTTATAGAATATAATAGAGATTCTTTTGCCTTTCTTCTTCTTTTCATTCAAGGGCAGCTTAAATAAAGATGGTTCCTTTGGAATGAAATATGAAAAATATTGCAGAGATAGAAGACCTGTGGGATAAACAAGATAGGTAACAGAGCTCGAACAGTATTTCTTAATGAATTCTCAAGCAACTACACTAAGCAACAAGCTGGACTGTAGACAATCTTTACTGCACGCGTTCGAGGTTTTCGAGGCGTCAACTTCACAGTCTTTGAAGATTAACACGCTAAATGAAATAAATAGCTATTATAACTCGATTATAATTCTGTAATAGAGCATAAGTATTCTACTTTCCTCTTCTTTATCTCATTAGTAAGAGTAATAGCTATACTGACAGCAATAATAGCTTACAGCATAAATAACATCAATGACGACATTAAAGTTTCCTATATGACTCTTTTTCAATTTCTACTTGACTAATACTCAACTCTTGATAAAGAATCTACTTTGCTAGTCATCAGCTTGATTGATCTTTTACAATCTGAAACTGAATACAATAATGGTTGCTTTAGGCTAACTTAATGTATATATGTGCCCTCGTTGCTTGTACGAGATGTGGCGATTGTGCGTTGCTTTATTTTCAAAAGGATGAAACGGTTATTGTGCTATACCTCAGTACGGTGTTTTATTAGACATATAACGATGCTTTTTAGAGCAACTTGTTTGCAACAATGTCTTCGTCATTTACAGGGACAATGTTCAAATTTTCGGGTTTTGCTATTTACACTCCACATCTACATAGCATTTTCTCAATTAGTGACGTAAGCAATTCAATTTTCATAGCAAACAGCATATCTATCGTATTTACCTTATAAGGGCTCCATCTTGTTGTAAAATGTTACTTGAAGAAAAAGAAAAACAAAAGAAAAGTGACTACAAAATGCGTTATTCTTATAGACGCGTCATACTCAATTCTCATTGGTCGTGATAAATTCATGCAATAATCCTTAACATAATAAAGAAATTATTATAGACCCATCAATACATACCTCTCATATACTTTAGCGTTGTACATAGTGTCATGTGGATGTGGCTTGTCTAGTGAAAATTGAATTGCTTATATCACTAATTGTGAAAATGTTGTGCAGATGTGCAGTGCAAATAGCAAAACCCAAATTCTCACGCTTCAATTGTTTGAAAACGTCCTCTTGTTCATGGGTATCATTCTAATAATATTCAAGCATGTGAGCCTGTATCAAATAGAGTAAAGAAAGAATTTATATACAAGAATGCAAAGAGCTCGAAAACTTTCATGTGCTCCAAAACGTCAGAGAAGGACAAAGGAACAGAAACGGAGCGGTATTCTACTACTCGCCATGTAGTGGGTGACTTTATCGAATATTTGATAAGCGTTATTTTGCTTGTATAATTTGACATGAGAATAAACGAGCGTTTTTCATTGTATCGAAAGAAGCATTGCGGTAGTTTGAGACAAAGAATTTAACACTATCATGGCCGTTTTTTATGTTCTTGAGTGTATCATTTAAAGAGCGAGACAAAGACTTGTCATTGTTAAAACTAAAGCTAAAACTATTAACGAATGCAAGTAGGCTAACAGGAGAGTTTCAATTATGCATATCCAGAAGATTCCATTAATAACTAGATGGCCTACACCATTAGGCAATTTAAAATTGTTTTTTCTATCTTTTGTAAAATCATTTGAGGCCAACCAAGCGTAATCCAGATCTTTCGCTTTTTTTCACACCTATAATTTAGATAAATTGTTAGGCGCTTTATACGTTATTTTGAACTTGTAAGTTACAAAAATTACCAGGTATACGTCAGTAATTGAGTACAGTTTCCAAATGCTTTAAATAAAGGGACACACATTTCAAAATAAACGCTTCGTTCGTCATTGCTGTTATATTTTTGCGGTCGCTTCAGGTTCAAAAGAAAGTCCAGCATAGTAAACTTCACGAATTCTAGAAAGGGATTGTCTTTAGGTAGTGTTACGATTTTATCAAACATATCTGTGATAATGTCATATAAATAGCTTTACTTCGAAAACATAAGAATATAACTAGATGGAATGAGTCTATTTATGAACAAAGAAAAGAAAGAGATTCACGGCAAAAAGGAAATTGATCTTATATGCAAAAATAAACGTTGCCAACCAATCGTATATTATATATGACGCGTCATCAACTACCACAGACTACAGATACTATAAATCAACGCTGTGGGCTTCATATATGGCATTATGTTAATATTCAAAATGACTTTGGTTGTGTACGAAATATATATTGATTATATTACGTCAAAGGGTGTATGATCTTCTTCGATATAAACGTAGAAATACGACAATAAAAGGTTATTTTTAGCAGCATAATAAATAATAAGTTTGGTTGGTTTCTTGTTGCAGGATGTAAAGTTGCTCTCTTCACAGTCATATTTCATTCGTGAAGGGCGAGCTTCTCAGCAACAGTCTTTTGAGACTAAAAACTTGCCAAGCTATATTGACTGTATCCTGGAGAAAAAGCAGCTAAAGGTATTAACTGTAATACGAGCGTTGCCATGGTAATATACGTAATTAAACTTAATGTCTTCAAAAATTATGCGAAATTTTATTAAAGGATAAAGGGAATGTGTTACATATAACATAGGGATATATAAATAAGATTGTATATAAAAGATAAATATTGATATGTATATAATATATATATATATAAAGGGGAGGTAAAATATAAGAGAAAATGATACATATACACATATGAGTTATTGATATAACACTTTCTTGTCAAAAGAGTGGAGCAAAGAGAAAGTGAAAGAAATCTTACATGATATACAAGCAATTATGAATAACAAGGTCATGAGTGGCGATAATCAGCGACCATTTGATAGAACTTTTGTGCGAGCGCCACATCCCTCTCTACTTCTATGCCTTGTTCATACATGCAGGCAAGTTTTCGCATGGAGTAAAGATCATTAGCTTCCAGAGCGGCTTTTGTTCTCCATTGTATGGACTGAGTCATATCTTTGACAATACCATTACCATCTTGATAGCACTCGGCTAACCATACATAGGCTTCTTTGAACTGATCTCTAGTGGCCAGTGAAAATATTGTTTGAAATGCCTCTGTTATTGATAGATTGCTGTACTTATCTAATGAATGTGAGGATTTTAGTGTGCTTCCCATAGGATGATGAAGGAGTGCAGTTGGATCATAGTTTAAACTGTATAAAGAGCGTCTTAGACATGCAGTGCGATATGTCTTGAATTGCTTGGAAATTCTGGTATCATTAACAACACGATTATAGTATTCGTAAGATTTATCATATTGTCCTAGCTTTTCGTAAGCTTCTGCAGCAGCAAATAGAGCACTATGGTCAAATAAGTTAGCTGTACACCGTAAAATCAGATGGTTGTTACTCACGTTGGCTGACCAAGTTGAATGGCCTTTAAGTAGCAGTTTAGAGCCAGGTGAATATCCTTGGGTAGCCCACCACGGCCGTTTTCATAATAGCCACCAAGAAGTAGAGTAGCCAAAGGATCTTGCTTATCTCCGGCCATCTTGAGGTACTCAGCTGAGAGCAGATCGTTCTTTTCTGTTCCAATGCCTGCACCGTACAGTCGACCTAGTTCTCGCAACGCAGTAGGATGCTGCTGAACTGCAGCCTTCTTGTACCAATCAAAAGACGCTCTCTGAAGCGATTTGATCTCTTGCTGGCTCGTACTCGCCTTTGTTTTTTCTTGGCATAGCTGAGCATAGGATATCATGGCATCGACAATTCCTAACTGAGCTGATTTCTTAAAGTATTCTCTTGCCTTATCATGATCACGGGGAACGCCGTCGCACCCGTTATAGTAGTAGATTCCGATATAGTATAGCGCTTTAGGATGCTTCTGCTTTGACGCCTTCATGAACCATTCAAATGCCGCCCGCCTGTTCTCTTGGACGCCAACACCTTTGCAGAGCATGTGCCCTACCTACAGAGACAAAGTGGGTTAGTATCAAGAAACAATTGATTGGTTATTTACTAAGCATACCTGGAACTGAGAATCACTGTAGTCAAGGTTGGCAGAAATCAAATAATGCTTGTACGATTGTGGCAAGTCAATCGGACATATACCTGGTATACCTTCCTCATAGCAGACGCCTACCCAGTAATGAGCACATCCATCGTTTGGATCAGTCTTGATTAAATCTGAAAGAAGATCAAATCCTTCCTTTGGCTTGTAGGGAATGTTGGGATCTTTGCTGTTATCAAGGTAAAGAATGGCCACCATACGTTTAGCTACTCGTGTTATGGGAGGTGATGAAGGGAATGCATTGGCTTGAGTCAAACCGGACGCCAATAGATAATAGTCAAGGGCTTCCTTGTATTTGCTTTGTTTGTGCAAGAAGGTAGCGTACGTTAATTGGGCACTTGGAAGATGATTGCTCTGGTATCTAACCGCTTTCTCATAGTACTGGCTGGCTACAACATAATTCACAGCTACACCAACACCATGCTCATAGCAAGATGCTATTTGTGTAAGCGCCGTCGGGAAGTTCTGTGCTGCTGCCTTTCGGAACCATTGGAAAGCTTCCTTTTTGTTTTGTGCAATTTCATGTGCAGTTTGATGAGACTGATGAGGGATGTTACCATCACGGTACATGACACCAAGAGTATACTGAGCGCTAGGGTCGCCAGCGAGAGCAGCACGTTGGATGAATGAATAGGCCTTGGCTGTGTCTTTAGAGAGGCCCATGCCACCAATCAGATAGTTCATGCCTAGACGGAACTCGGACGGATGATGACTGTGCTTTTCAGCAGCATGAAAGTAATTAGCATAGGCTAACTCATGATTGGGCATGATACCGTATAATCCTAGCTCGTAGATATTACCAAGTTGATAGTAGGCTTGGGGATCATTCTGTTTCATTTAAATATGTTAATGATGAACTAATAAAGATGATATGTAGATTCTTACCAAGTCAGTGGCCTTCTTGAGCCAACCAAGTCCATCTTTTATTTTGCCTTCCTGTAGTAAGATTAAAGCAAGCTGGACTTGAGCGGGAGAATAAAACTTTTGAGCACTGGACGTAAAGTATTCCTTTTCTGACTTAGGCGCGTCACTGACAACACCAAGCTTAACCAAATAACCCAAAAGATATTCAGCAAGTCTAGTATATATATAAAAAAACAGGTTAATCTATGACATACATACTGTAGTAATGAAATCCTTTACTTGTTTTCTGCATTCGCGCTTTGCTTAATAAGCTCCACATTTTCAGGAAGCGATTCATCCGAGATCAGACTGGTGATGGCTACACAAACCTGTGCTTGAGCCACAAAGTAAGGAGCGCATTTACTTTCTGTGTATCGCTGCGGCAATTGGATGGTTTTCTTGTACCAAAAGATGGCCTTCTTTCGATCTACAGGCTGAATTATATCCTGCTGATCATCATGTTGAATGCCGTAATAATAGCATTGACCGAGGAAAAAGTAAGCTTCCCAAATGCCAGCTTCTGCCAGAGACTGTAGTTCTTGAAATGCGATATTTGGGTCTTTAGTGGTACCCCAACCACAAAGTTTGCACCTTGCTACACAAGTTTTTGCGGTAGGATCATCTGCGATCTCAATCCAAAGTTCAGCTGCCTTGAAGGCTTCCCGTTGAAGATCCTGGCTTTGTTTCATGCGTGGCGAAGCAAAGATCTCGGTAAAGATGTCAAATGAACTCGAGGTATGCTTGATAAGGTAGTTCACTATCTGTTCGGATGACTTTAGCTGATGAACAGTGGTTGGGCTTGGCTGAGGTCGATGTAAATCAGGCACGGTCATAATATAGTCATTATCTTTGCCATTGAACGAAAAGTGAGAATAATCAGTTAATTCAGTAAAGGCGGACTCGGGAGCTAGGCGAGAGAATGGCTCTACAGAGAGTCCTGACTGGACAATACTCGAACGGTTTTCGAAAGGGACTTTTTTTTGTTTTTTCCTTTGTTGTGGTTGTGATTGTTGCTGCAAGGAGAGAATCAATTCATTGTTATCGTGATGAATCAGGGCAGATGATTGAATGGCCATCAGCGAGTTTCTACTCAAACTTGGTTGAGATTTTGCCTCAATACTAACATTGTTTCCCATTTGTTAAGGAAAAAGTAATTAAAAGTACAAAGGGTATATTTGAAATTATAGGTGCTTAAAGGCTATTTAAAAAAAGAAAGAAAAAAGAAAAAGGGTATTCGACTAGGAAAAATAGAAAAGAAAAACAATTGCTTTATTTATGCATCTCCTTTTATACAAGAAGATCAAATTGTGTGACAGTCTGATTAGCAACGAAAAACAACAACAAACACTATAGTTGTCAAGGTAACAGGCAATTAATTCTTTACATAACAACGCATGCTTTTAGGCAAGTCCCGTCCTCTATGTACCTTCTTTCTATTGCTATTTCAGTGCTTGATTGCCAGTTTGCAGTCTAACCACTATGCTTGTGTAACAAAATGCTCGGAACCAACATTCCGTTATTTGTTATTTCACACAGAACAGGATAATAAATAAGGAACTGGTGTCATCTATTTTAGAAAGGGTTAAAATAGAATACGGAAGCATGTATAAAAAGAACAGTCGAATAGAAAATACAAGGACGAATCAATTACAATTAATATATTGCACATCATGGCGTGAGTTGCATTTTTTGGTGTAGGACAATCCTACATGTGTTTCCATCCGATATTATGTCACATCGACGAAGGGAAGCAGTATTGACAACATGCTTGATGTCATACAAGAATGTCATGTTCTTGTCTTTTATGGGCGTCAAAACGTTTGTTAAAGAAAAATTCCTTAATAAACAAGGGGAAATAGTAAAGGACGATGAATATCCATGACATGGCGCCCGTAGTAATATAACGAGGCGCTGTAGCTTGACTGACTTTCTTGACGACACGCGATGCAAAAACTTCAGTTGGAGTAGAGTGAGGACCTAGAGTAATCATGTTAGAGTCACCACACGTTGTTCCCCATCATTTTGAGTTACCTTGAGATAAGGATGCTCTGGCAATAATGTAGTTGGCGACGGGTGCATAAAGGGAGCCTATTCCGTACATATTAGAATCCCCTTTCCCCTCGCATAATATTTTTGATGCTTACCTTCTGGCACAAGATTGCCTGCTTCTCCAGCTGCTCCAATGTTGGATCGAATGGCGCCTAATAAGTACAGCGTTAATAAGTCCCATCTTTTATTGATTCTTTCTCTCTCTCCCTCTCTTTTTTTTACCTGGAGCAACAACAGTGACTTGGATACCAAAGGGCTTCAGTTCCATACGCAAGGTATCCGACATAGAATGAACAGCAGCCTTAGAGAGAGCATAGATACCTTTGAAAGCAATGGTTAGATGATATATACAAAATATACATTTTCTTTTCGCTTTGATTTTTCATTTACCAGCCCAAGGTGTACTCGTGTATCCTACCACAGAACCAATGTTGACGATCTTACCCCTCTTTCTCTTGGCCATGTGAACAGCAACAGCACGACACATAGCAAGAATAACAAATAAACGTTTGATATCAAGTACAATGTTTACTACAAACTCTTACATCAGAGCAAAGTATAATAAAATAGCTTGATGCATATACATAATATAAAACATTATTATATTATGGCTTACAAAGGTTTATTCAGAACAGCATATCTGGACAAACGTCAAGACGTCTAAACATATCCGTAATATCCACAGGTTTCTTATAGTTGTGCGTTTTGCCTATCCCATGTATACGGTTATGACCTTTATAAAACTTTAATATCTCGAAGGTTTTTCAAGCATTAAGTTGTGTACTTTTCAAAAAGCATTGACAGAGAAAGGTTCTTATTTCAAGTGTGTGTAGCGTTCGCCTAAAAAAGAATTGTTTATTTCAGGTTCGTTCCAATTCCTGATTGGGCAATACTTTTTGAAAGACAGTTAATTGAGACTCTTTCTCTCCACCGTTCTCTCTCTTTCTCATCTCTTAATCCTATGTCCCTGAACGTGTCAGATCCTGCACTCATTGAAGCTTACGAAGATGTCAGAGATGACAAAACTGAGACTAACTGGGCATTCTTTGATTTTGCCAACACAAAGCCCGACCGTCTTCAAGTTTCTGGTACAGGAGCAGGTGGTCTTTCTGAATTCGTTGCCCATCTAAAACCAGAAGTAGCTGGATGGGGTTATGTCAGAATGAATATGAGTAATGATGAGTAAATATATTTGAAACTTGACATACTAGTTCTCTCTCTAACCACTATGATGTAGATATTCCCAACGTGTTAAGTTTGTACTTGTGCCATGGTGTGGTGACAAAGTAGGCGTGATGCGTAAAGCCAAATTATCCATTCAAATAGCTGAAGTCAAGAACGTCCTTCGAAACTACCACATCGAAGTGCCTGCTTCCAGTGTGCAAGATTTAAGCGAAAATGAAGTGCTGACAAGACTTAGACGAGCTGGTGGCGCAAATTATGATAGACAATCAAGCAACTATTAAATTTTTTGGCAAAAATAAACCCCCTTTCTTTTTTTTTTTTCTTATCTTTTTTATATATAAATGTTAATAGACCTGATCGTTTATCTGGAGCCTCCTAGTGAAATCAAACAGCAAGTAGATCATTTCCTTGATACAACAGCAGACAGTATTGGTTTTACGACAGCCAATAAATATAGATGTCACGTTTCCATGACAGGTTTCTTTCAGACCGATCATGACCAAATGGACACAGTGAAGGAAATACTTGATAAGGTTCTGCAATATGACTTTAAAGACAACCCCAAGTTAGATTGGAACCCTTTGGTCGCCAAGGACAAGCTAACCAATGATCCATATCACGTGTTACTTCCCGTCTCTGTATCAGACGAGTATCGACAATGTATGCAAACATTTGCAAAAGAAGCGCGTTCGAGACTTGATATCACAGTACGTCCTAAAAGAATTGACCATATTAGTCTTGCCTACTGGGATGAACACGAGAAGAAAGACTGTAGAGAGTTATTCGAAAAGATAAAAGAGGCAGCAGACGCGTATTTCAAGCGGGTTGGTTGCAATGGATCCTGGAGCATTGTTTTATATCAAAGATCATTTAGAGGTGACGGTCTGCGTGAACCGCATATATTCAAAGAAATCAGCAGATGGAATGTTCAGCAGTGATAATAGTCAGCAAGGAATAAAGAAGCTAGCATAGTAGTCTGTTTGTCTTTGTCGTTGTTTTTGATATTTAGCAAACGATTCTTTAGTTCGTCTGTCAAAAGAACTATAATCAACATTAGCAAAAAAATAATAATTCCAATGTACGTTTTTTCATTACCAGAGTAATTTTCTTCAGTAATGAGCAGCATGAGGGTTGTCATGGCATTAATCTTTATATTCTTTGTCCAGGTGTTGTCAATGCAACTGATAATATTCTGTCTAAAAGAAGGCTGAGACATGATATATTCATAGTGACGTGGTTCTAAACAAATGTTGGCTAAACCGCCCATTCCAAACTCACGAAGCAATGGATCTGGGTCAGTAATAGCTTCCAGGAATAAATCCACAGCATAGAGATTCCACAAATGGTCATAATTAATTGGATCATAGGCAAAGTTGGCTAAATGAGCAAGCACTTGTTGCTTAGCCACTACATACATAAATTGTGAGTCATTTATATTTTGCACACAAAGAAGACAAATACCTTTGTCATTGGTCGTCTTGTATTCGTTAATAAGCTGTTCAAGGTATTCGCTTCTGTTGGCACTATTTTTGCCGTGCCTTCGTTCAATATACGCCTTACTTTGAAACATTAATCAAAAGAACAGTCTCAAAAGACAGAGAGGAAAAAGTCCCCCTTTTTTTTCGTGCATGTAGTGTTTTCCTTTTTTCTTTTCTTATGTTTTTATTAAAAAGATCGATCAACTGTAAGTTCAGCAGAAGAGGCTAAATTTGAAAAATTGTTACTGATGATCTATAGATCATTTGAAATGTTGTCGATTATCTATTTATAGGCCCTACTCTTCTTCGACAGATAATGCTTTGTTGATAAAGCTCCATTCTAAAATGTCAAACCTTTTGAGGAAGACTGCAACGACAACAGAAGACAAAAAGAAAACATTACAAAGTGTTTTACATCTAGTTGAAGAACTTCGTAGCGCTGGATCACCATTGGCTGCAAAAACATACAACTACGTGATAAATGCATATTCCAGAGCAGGTGAAAGTCATGGCATAATTCCACTTTTACAGCAAATGGAGGCAGAAAATATCACACCACATCGAGTGTTCTTTGAACAAGCATTAGAGGTATTTAAATAGAGCATGAATTTACTTATGTCTTAAAAGCTTGCTGGAAGTTTAGGTGAACCTGTATTGCAAGCACATATACTGCAATACATGGAACGGCATGGATACAAAAAGACACCGATTATATACAATGCTTTCTTAAAATGCGCCAAAGAGAATATGGAATTAGAAAGAGCCATAGATATCCTTGATGAAATGAAAAAATGCAATATAAAACCTAGTATGTCAAGTTATTCGGAATTGATAGACTTAGCTGTCACCTTTGAAGAGCCCGAGACAGCCTACGAATTGCTTTTGTCAGCAAAGCTACTGAAAGATTTTGCTGAGTATGAGGAACCATTATACTTGAATGTGTTGCGATCAGCATCTTATCACTATAAGGTACGACTTTATAACAGACAATCGCATAATAACAATATTATAGCACGATATCGTCAAAATATTATGGGAAGAGGCAATCACGCAAAAAGGATATCGACCAGATGAAGGACTGTGTCTACAGGTTCTGAATATGACGGGAAAATATGCAGATCCACGATTAGCAAGCTCTGTGATCAAATACATCGGAAGCCAAGGATACACATACAGAGAACTTCATTTTCAACCTTTAATACAAGCATTTGCACAAACAGGAGATATAAGAAGTACATTTAAACTACTCCATGCCATGAGAGAAGCCGGTGTCACTCCCAGTAAAAGAACAATTACATCCATGAGTTCTATATTTGCGCAAGATAAAAGCGCCATTACAAAAGCCAAAGCAGCAATAGATGAGGCCCTTCGTTCCGACATTAAAGAAATAGATATATTAGCAGTCAATTTGGTGATACATGTACTGGCAAGCAACAGACAGTATGATGAAGCACTGTCTCTTTACAATCGAGTCATGGAGGCTGGTGTGACACCAAATGAAGAAACACTAGACGCGGTATTAGACTCTTGTATTCATTCTCAAGATGCTGCCTTGGGCGAAAAGATATATAATGAAATGATTTCAAAGGGGATCTCAAAGACGCCATCCACACTAAGTAAAATGGTGGCTTTAATGTGTACTCAGGAAGAATATGATGACGCTTTCAAGTACTTGGAGGAAATGAAACATTTGGATATGATTCCATATCGTGGAAGCTACTACAAGCTTGTAAAAACATTAGCAGCTGCAAAAGATCCTAGGCTTAATATCGCCTTGGAAGATATGAAAGACTACGGATATGAGCTTTCAACGCACCTACAAGAATATATAGAGCAGCACGACGAAAATCAGTATGATGAAGGTGAAAGCTCGGCACATATTTCTCTATAGTGTGCTATTGTAAATACATTCCTATTTATTAATAAAAATTTACATCTTTTAAGATCTCGCTCATTGAGCTTAATTTGTATATACATGTAGTTGCCGCGTTGTATAATGTTGATAAGATTAATTTTTATGTGCATGGGAAAATAGAAGAGGTTCGAATCTTCTAGTGTTTTTGCAAGTAATGACCAATTTCTGTGCAAAAGAAAGAGTGTCCTTTATTTTATTTAAAACAATGCAGTATTTATGAGATTTCAAATAGTTGATATCCCGCTATGATCACATGTGGTAATGTAGTATTGATCTTCAACTAAATGTAACGACGATAACGTACGTGTTACACATCGTAACACTAGCTTGCATATATATATATATGTACATTCTTCATCCCTCTCCCTCGTCTGCAAGTTTAGGCATTATAGCACTACAAATCAATCAAATGGAAATAACGGACCTTTGTTTATTTTTCCCCTCTCTGCTCTTTCATTCAAACAAAGTGTGTAACGAATCAGGATCCTATAGGATGACAGTGAGACAATAACATGGCCATGTACTATTTGCCATGTAAATACCGTTTACTAAAATCCAAGATTTCGTTTTCCCTTTCTTACAATAGGATCTCATTTTACTATTTTACTCTAGAAAGAAGAAGAAAAAAATGCCGTTCGTACTTGCAAATTCATTACATCAAAATAACTGACTGTATTGGCTATTTTAGATACTTCTCCTAGTTTGGGCTCTCCAAGCTGATGAAAACGAGCATCACCTTCCTATGCTTATTTTTTTTTATTTTTAGTACAGCCTTGTAAAAGAAAAGAAAGATCCTTTTTTTATGTATGGCTCCGCTTTACACGTCGTGCTGATGTTACTGATGTTACTGATGTCGTTTCATATCGTTTCATATATAAAAATGTTATAGGAGGATGTAATGATATCTCACTCTATCAGCGCCATCCAATAGAGCCTCAGCCGTTCCTTTGGTTTCATAAAGGATATATCAAGAGTGCTGAATATAAAACGCGCTGCATAATAAAAAAAATTGGTTGTACGCTCAGGGCAGTGTAGCAACATGGTTGATAGACACTCAGCCTGAACGACGTGGTCAGTTGAAATAATGAAGGTCAAATAAGCGTATGATTGAATTAGTATAATCTATGTACAGTATTCATGATTATGGCAAAGGAAAAATAAATAAATCAATGTGTATATAAATAAACGAGTGGATAAGGAGGACAACAACCTGATTTCAGGCTCCGGCTTTGACGACAAGAAGAAAAAGCTCCATACCAATTTCATTCCCCCCCCCCTTTTTTTTTATATTACCTTCTCTTTTATACCAAGAAGCTATTTATGAAAGACACCTACACGTCTTTTCATTATTTATCTTGTAAACCGTTGACATAAGTAACCATCATTCTATGTTTGGAACTTTTACTCATTTTTTTTTTTTCCTCAAGCGACCAAGAATTCATGGTGTCCGACTATCAGCTCTTCTGCTCTCCTTTGCACTTACTAACTCTTTATTCTCTGTTACCAGGTATCGATTAGCTGCTCAAGGCTTCCAAATAAACGCGCTAATCACTGACTCCTAACCTCTCTTTCTAGGTATAGGTTTTAGTTTCTTCCAAAAAAAAAAAAAAAAAAGAGTTGAGGAGAGATTGCACTTTGACTGGCAGCAAAAAGCCTGGCTTCAGCAGGTGCAGTGTAAGTATCTTTTTTTTCTTTCTCCGTACCATTATTCCCTGATAGCTGCTTCTCATGAATTCTTTGTCAGGCATATCGTGTCAGGTATACCCTGTTGACTTTGGCACTCTAAATACCTCTTGTAGATCTCTTGTGCTTTTTGGTTTTGCTTTCATGGCTTTTGCTTCACTTATGATCTCTGCTACCTTCACTCTGTCTTGTATTAGCCTGTTCTTCTACAGGCAACATTCTTTGTAATAAATTGTATGTTTCTTCCATTCTCTATTAATTTTGAAAGGCTGTATTTTTTTTTTAAACATCAAGAGCCTTAAGAAAAAAACAGGGAGGAGATGAGACCAAGGCTTTATAGTTAAGTTTGCGAGCTTGTAAAGACACGCCAACATTCCTAAATCCAAATAAAATGACGCTGGGTTTATTATGCTTGCAAGTGTGAAATATTTTAATGTAGTTATTATAGGCTACATTTACTTATGACCTGATTCACATCACATCAAGTTCACATAACAAGAATATAAAGTAAAGACAGCAAAGAGATGTAATTTGTTTCTGCAAAAGATGAATGGAGTTTTTTTTTTTTTTTTTTTGTGCTGCTTCATGATGTAGCAAGAATTACAACAGAAGCGGTAGTAGGAGCGGTAACAGAGGTTGATGAGATCACGCTACCAAAATGAAAATAATTTCAAAAAATGCCTCATAATAAGAATGCCAACGACTGATCTGAGCAATGATTTCGAATTAGCTAATACCATATGTAGTTACTCTTCAAACCCATTAGGTGTCGTCAAGAGAGCCGTTGGCATAGTTCAGTTAGAACTAAGGGTCCGTATGGTTCACATTTCTAGGTAGTCTGCTTGCGTAGGTTTTTCTTTCTTTCTTGCAATTACTGTTCAATACTTGTTACTACTAAATGTGCAGCATCATTGAATATAGACATGCTATGTATTATAGCTTCTATTCAACGTCATTTCTCTATATTTTACTAATCTTCAGTCTAATAAGGTATGATAATAATGACAACTATTGTCCATCTGACAATGCCTATGGTCTTTTCATGATTCATAAGGATCTCAGCATACTGTGTTTAATGTCAAATATTAGAGTCGATCTCAGCTGAAAATGATTACCTGTAGCCATGATATGAAATGGCCGTTGATGCTAAAGGCAAGCAGCTAATTTGGGCTCAGCTTTGATAAAAATCATTATCTTTCTGCTTCAAAAATTGTGATCCCCTCTCTTCTCATCCTTTGTTATTTTGAACTCATTTAGGGTTTATTCATGCTTCGGAATTACTCCGAAGATAGAAAGGATGAACTCTGTATCAAATGGTTATCAAGCGGTATCTCTTATCTGTCGTTCATTACTCAATAAAAGATTCCATCCGTGGCATCTAATGTATCCATGATCTGAACTCTGTGTGTGTGTGTGTGTGTGTGTTATTAACACATGAAAGCTAATTTTGACTCCCATAAAAAAACAACCCTTATTTCATTTCTCGGCAGGCAGCCTAAGATATCGTCGGTTTTTTTAGACGCACAAAAGAACTAAAAAATTCACACACTAGCCAAAAAAAAAAAAAAAAGAGAGAGAGAGAGAGAATCGCTGCCAAATTATAGCTTGAGGTCTATATCTACAACTAAAAATAAAACTGGGGCCCGCGAATTTCTTTATTCGTTTTCACTAAAGCAATGAAAGATGTGCTTGCCTTAAGCTTGATATCCTTAATACAGAATGCTTCTTTATCTATATTGTCTATATTTTGTTCATACGAGCTAATAAACTAATAAAATCTGTGTAATAAAGGTCATCCAAAATATTTGATCAACGGAATGAGAACACTTGATCTATGCGTTTTTTGGATGTGTAAACCTGTGCCTTTTGTCAAGAGTGGATGACATAAATCATAATTCATGAAAACAATACACTAGGAGTACAAAGCAAGACACAATAAAAAGACGCATCAAATATACTCTCTCTTTCAAAAGTAGAGGCCATTACTAGGTACGGTCAAATATGACGCGATACTCATTCTTCATACTCTCTCTATTAGCACCATAGGCGCTTATAAAAAAAAAGTAGGGCCTGGAGAGTGTGGAAAATTTGAAGAAAGCTATGGGAATTATGTGAACTTTTATTCTCATGCATAAAAACCTTTTAGATAGTATACCAATCCCAATAAAGGCAGTAATAACGGCCAAAGGAGGGTCCACTCGCTGATAAACTTCCTTTGTAGAACTGAGACTCATTTTTTTGTCTTTTTCTTATATCAAAAGAAGTGTTTCGATTTTCTCTTTTTATTTTTGATACTCATTCCTTAGACTGTGCACTGAAATTTGCTAATTGAAGGCAAGATACACCATGAGCAGCATCGTAATTTTTGGAAATTGAAACAAACGTTCATTACTTTTCGGTGTGCACTATGCATCATGCATCTCACATAATTATTTTGCTGTTTCAAAGATATTGATTGTATTTACTTTATATTCTTGTTATGTGAGCTTGATGTGATGTGTTACGTACAGTAATACTTCAAGTATCGTCGCGTGAAATTTAGTTTGAGTTCAGCTTTATTGTTACACGCATCAAGTGGAAAGATATAAACAATCGTTTATCATTACTTAAATAAAGACAATTTTCTTTATCATAAGAAACTTCAACTTGTATTGCAAAAGCATTGGAAGTTCGAACCGCTTCTATTTGCACATTCACATAAGAAGTTCTCTTATCACATACTTCTGGTAGCTTCGAAGATATTAAGAAAAGTTACTGATTTCATGCGTTTAATTGTGGCTTGTTAACAAGAAGTGAACTTCATGAATTACTCATTTCCTAAAACTAAACAAGAGTAATGAAAATTTTACAAGACTTTATTAACGTATTTGGGGATGATCATGAACTGAATATCATTGGACATGAGTTTGTTGAGCCTTTGCTAGTAAAGTTAGCGGTAAAGGCGACTAGTCGTTTGAAGGATGCCAATGGATGCGTGAAAAAGAATATCTTTGTGGTGTTTGTACTGTTGTAGTAATGGCAATGGGCAGAAAGTACAATGGGACTCTTTATGTTTTATCTGGAAGAACAAAGATGAATATATTAAAAAATGATAGTTGCGCTTACTATTATTGTGATTCGTCAGTTTATACTACTGGGCTTTTGTTATTGAGGTGTAGACACTGCTTATTGACCCACAATTGTTATGCAACCAATGGATTTCAGCTGCCCTTTTTATTGCTCCGACAAGCTGTAATTTCCAAGCTATATTCTGAGATTAAATCGCCTCCAGGAACATACATGCATGGTTTATCCTCAATAACTAGATTCTGGTCGTGTATTATTTTTGATTCATGAACAATTGGATATCGTAGGTTACATATGTATTTCTTCCCACTTTTTATTATAGTCAGTTTGCCTTTATAGAAGATATATCAACAAGAGCAGCATGTTTAATTACAGATCTACAAGGATGGACTTAATGTTTATTATGTACAAAAAAATGTGCATTTTCTCAGAATAAAGCACTTATATATATATAGAATTATCACGCAAATAACTGCAATTGTGTAAATGTCTTTACTGCTTTTTCGTATACGCCCAAAAACACGCTCCCTCCTATAGATATCCACATAACTCGTGGTCCAACACCAGCCCATAGTTTCTTAGGCCCCTCTTCAATCATGATCTTTCTCATTGTTTCTACCAAATTAGCCTCTTTCGCTGTCTTTGAAAGCATGATGCGAGTTTTGCAAACGTCTAAAGGTGTTGTAATAGCTGCTGCAATTCCACCTGATAATGATCCCATCAGCGCAGCTTCATAAGGCTCCACATGTTGCTGTTTATATCTTCCATATGTTGTTTTAAAGTACTCGTAAAGTGGAAATTGTATGCATGTAAAGGGTATCTCTCTGGCTACTGTAGGCAAAAATCCTCTATAAAAGCCTAGTATGCCTTCTGTGCGCAATACGTTGGTGATAGCGCTTGATGTTGAATTGAATTGTTTGATCTGCATTCGCTGTTTGATTACTTCAGTTGGCACACGCACTGTGCATGCAGACTGTTCAACAAAAGCTTAGCATCCACGGCTAGCCCATTTGAATGGTTTGTACTTACAATTTCTCCAAAAGTAGCTGCAATCATATAAGTAAAAGGGGTATTGCTGCTTGTAGATGCGCCCATTAATCTCTTGGCTGCTTCATAAGTGACGAAAAATAAAGAGGCTGTTTTCTTATGTCAACGAATACATGTATAAAATAGGAAAAAATAGTCAATTTACCATTTGGAGCACTTCCTACCACTGCAGGTAAAAGACCTGAATAGATTCCTCGAAAGCCACCAGATGCTCTAAATCCAGTTTTTGATTGAAAACGGGTTTTTATTGTATCTATACAGCAAATATTTAATAACCCCCCAAACGAGTCAAGTTTTAAGACATACCAAGAGGGTATAGGGCAGTATCAACGGCAATACCAGCCACTGCACCTGCCATTAATGCTTGCCTAAGGTTGGCTTGATATGTTGGTTTCCTCGAGTTGGTCTGCATTGATCGCTTTAGGCTGGAAGATTCTTTTAGAAAAAAAAAAAAAAAAAAAAAAAAAAAAAAATAGTGATTGAAAGCCATGAAATTTACGAGATAGTTTGAAAGTCACGTATTGCACGGCTTTAGTCTCAAGCCTTTGAAGTGGATCACAGTTTCTATGGTATACGCTTTAAGAGCGACTACCAATACCTTGTTTGTCTAGATATTATTGCATTCTTACAGTGTCTAATTGTTGGTTGATACACTTTTGCATGTCTATATATAAACTACCTGTAAGAGCCAATCGATTGCTATATATATGACTTACCCTCTAACTTCATATCGCTATAAACGACCATGATTCCCCCAGACAATTCCTTTGGTATCTCATTTTCTGGAGAAATGATCATTAATGGTATCTTATTCCACCAACGATCTGGTTGTAAATAAGGTAGCCATTTACATAACCTTGCAGCCACTCTTTTCTTGTTGACACTTGGATCAAATTGAATTAATGGATTGTTTAATATGTCAGTCGTCGTCCAGTCAATAGGATTGACGCGTTGCTGTTTATATAATTCATCTGCAAACTCCTGTGCTAATGTCTTCTTTGGTCTCTTACTACTTTGTTGTTTATTTAACTCGGTTTGAACAATATCCATGTCTGATGGTAAAATAGATATATTCAGTTTTTGACAGAGAGATAAAAATGAATTGACATGATCCCATTCTGTCCCCTTTGAGTCAAATTCAATCGAGATAGGCTGTCTTGTCTGTTTAGTAAAGAACTGTAATCTAGACGTTTCTTTTGTTGAACTCTTTGATTGAAGTAGATTGTTTAATCTTTGAAGAGAAGCAGCATTTGTTTGCTTCTTTACTTTTTCAAACTGAAAGAAATCAGGATGAGTTTGTAGAATAAACTTTTTTAAATAAGGTTTTATGAGAGTGCTAGCTTTACTCATACGGACAAAAAAAAAGAAGAGTCGCTTAATCGCTTTTTTCTTCTTCTTGAAGGCGCTGTCCGACCCGGAAAATATTGTACAGGCCCGATTCAGTTTTTCTGTTGTATTCTTTACTCTAAGCGTCGGTCATAGGGCGTGGGCGTGAACTTGAGTCTGTGTACGTGTGTGTTTTTCTTTCTCTTTCTTTTTTAAAACAAAAAAAAGTAAGATTATGGTACAACCCAGAGCCAATGACGAAAAAAGCAGTACAACAGATTTTGTACTTTTGCAGTTACATCGATCAAGCAGTGAAATTATATATAAAACATTTGGATTGTAAGTGATCCTATTATTATCTGTCATATTTCCCTTTTTATATATATATATATATCTAAAGTGCCTTTTTTACTTACTTTTTTTTCCATGATAGGTATTCTACAGAAGAAGAAGCCTATGCAGCAGCAACCATAAAACAGATGCAATCTATTGAAGAAAGTAGTAAAAAATGGCCAAAGAGCGTGATAGAAGAACATTGGCAGGAAATCCAAAGTTTATACAAGCATATCAAAGAAGAACTATCTAGCTTTAAAGATCGATTCAACCATCTACTCACTCTAAAGTTATTTCAAGAGCAATGTCCCGTTTCATACAAAGTGTTGCCCCTTCGCACCAATGCATCCGACTCCAAAACACTACTGAATGAATCCATATTCAAGACAAAGGCGCGTAATTTAATAGATGCTCTTCAACCCAAAATTGATGAAGAGGTGGATTTAGATAACAGTGATGATGATGACGACGAGGAAGAAGAAGAGGAAGAGGAAGATGAGGTGGAAGAAGAGGAGGAGGAAGAAGTTCTAGATGAAAGCAATAATGAGGAGGAAGATAGTGGCGAAGAATCAGATGAAAATGAAGGCGAAGTGGCAGCCGATGAAGACGATGAAGAGGACATTGAAGACACAGAAAGTGAAGAGGAAGATGACGATGAAGAAAATGCCCAAAATGAAAATACAATACCTGAGACAGAAGAAGAGGACCAAATGAACGGAGAAGAGGGTAGTGATGATGACGAAGAAGAGCAGTCTAATCGAAGCATAAAGAGATCAAGAACAGAGGCAGAAGATGAGGAAGAAGATGAAATAGATGAGGATGAACTAGTAGATGATGAAGATGAGCCATCAAGTAGAAGGCGAAGACTTGCTTAATAATAAATACTTGATGTATACGTTTTATGATACCTTTTCCTCCATGCATTTGTCGCGTCTTTTCGATCTGCAAAATAGCTTCAAAAACAAAATCGCATTATGTTAATACTAAAGTCACATGCTGACAAATTTGATAGCCATGTTTGCAGGATAAATGAATTTGCCTTCTATATCAATATAGACCAGTAAAATAAAAGAGGACCTTCTGTTTGATGACTGACAAAAAGACTAGCACTTGTAAACTCTGCACTAAGCCTGATTAAATACAGCTGACGAATCTAAAGATAACAACATGCTAATCTTTCATCATATTTTCGTATTCTACGTTGAATAAGGGTCAATAAGCAGTGTCTACATATAAATAACAAAAGCTCAGTACCATAAACTGACCAATCACAATAATAATTACAATTTTACATAAGTGTAATAACTATCAATTTTGACACCTTCATCTTTATTCTTATAAAATAAAAGAAACGTAGAGTCCATTTTATTTTCTGTCTATACACGCTAATACAACAATGACCACAACATGCACAAACATCACAATATCTACCTGAGGCCCTGTTGAATAGCTTTTGTCGGTTGCAGAAAGCAGACCAGAGTTAAGCACTTCTTTTCAAAAAGCAAAACATCAATAGCTCGTATTAGTGAAGCATTCAATAGCTTAAATTTGAGTAGTGTCAAAAGCTTTATTTTTCATTCTTACAGACCATGAAGAAAAATACATCTGGTTGTTACCATACGTAAGGGCCTTGGTCATATGACTTTAAGAAATCACCTTTGGATCTTTTCCAAATAAAAGCTTTGTTTAATCTGCTTAGATAAACGAATACACAAATTAAGAAGGAGAGAAGGGATTAATAAAAACAGTATATCACAACCAAAAGCTACCCAACAAATTACAAGAAGATATAAGGAAGAAGCTAAGGCGCATGAATTCGTTAGATGAGCATAGTTTTGCTTCTCGTTAGATCTGCAATAAATGATTATTATTTTCTCAAGTCCCTCTACTTGGAGGGGGAGACTTTCTATCCAAGCATCGGTTATTATTTTCTTTAACCATTATCTATGGCTAGATACGAAGTTATAGCGGGATTTACTTTGGGCATTACTAAATATATGCTAAAATATTTTTATTCCACCAAGATAAACTCACTTTGTGGCAAATGCTATGCATCCTAATTCCCTTCTCTCTTCCCCTTTGTTTGGCGTCTGCATGCATAAACATTCGTAAATGAATCAATATCTTGCTGCACTTATGTACAACTCTCATCATGACGTGTGCTCTTTTTTAAATAAAGTTTAGTTGCCTTTTTTTATGAACAATATAAAAAGGAGGCAAACTTCTTTTTTTTTTGTTGTACTAAAAATGGAAACCGTGACACAGCCTAATGGCATACGAACAACGACAAACACTCAAAAGGATCTGGCCGAGCAGAACAATGGAATAATGACGCCCCCAATGTCTCCCATAAAGAATTCAATGGATTCTAAACGACATTCAGCAAACGTAGCAGCTGGTCAAACTGGGTTACCTTGGTTAGCGAGAGATGCAGAAGGTGATCATTTTCATCCGCACCAGCAACAAGAGAGCCCACCTCCGAAGCTTTCTGCCAAGCCTGCATCTATTGTACGTATTCCTACCAGAAAGAGAACCATTCAGAGACATGCGTATCGTATGAAAGATGGACTAGATCCAGTCAAAGTGCTATGTGATAGAATAAAAACTTGGCAAGTGTCTGTCAAATACTTGGTATGTATCATCTCTATGCTCCAACAACATGATTAACCCGATGGTAAAGATGAATTTATTTAGCCGAGTCAAAAATGTAGAAGCTACGACAGGCAGGGGCTACAGAAGGATTGACGCAAAGTTTATGATTCCAAGCAAGATGCAAGATCAATTCAAGTCTTCAAATGGAGTTCAAGATGCATGGATGGCATTTCGTCAGTTTGCGAGAGAAAACAGTTTGATTCACCAAGACTTTGTTGACTTTATCGAGAATGAGATAATTCCTACTTTGAGCCTTATGTTAAAGGATATGCATCATTTTATGCAGTCGTTGTTGTATGACAAGAATTTGAGGACAGCATCCCTTTATGATTGTCGTAAAAAGGCAGACAAAATGCTAACGAGACTAAATACTGAAATCTACAATTTGGCAAGTAATCGAGAAGACTCTATCAAAAGTGGAAAAGGCCCCTACTTGATTCCAAATAAAGATCCCTTGTTGACGAAATATGGTAAATAAGATGTAATATAGAATGTAAATTAGTATTCACTGTCTCTTCTTTATGTAGCTGTTATGAACACAATTGCTGATCTTTATAAACATGAAAACCGTCTACATAAAAACTTTTTAGAGGTTCAAGATAAATACAGGCAATTTGAGCAAGCAAAAATTATTAATGTCTACACAAGTCTCTTTCAGAGGTTTGAAGCTTACCGTTCTGAACATGGACTGGAACGATCAGAGGGTGTTTCTAAAATTGTCAATATTTTCAACGCGATCGAGACAGACTCTGAATGGTACGAATTCTTACATCATCACGATAACGAATTAGTGAAGCCATCGGCTGCATTTAAAGATGAGCATGCGCTTGAATTTCCAAATGAATCTCACCCGCTTGTGCAACCTTTAATCATGGGTGACATAAAGCGTAAAGTTGGTTCTTCAAAATGGCACAACGAGTATTACGTATTGAGTGCAGGTAAGAAGTGAAGGTTATGGGACGATTGAACATTATTAACATCTTATAGTCGGTGTACTCTATTGCTTCAACTCAGAAAAGGACTTCTATCGTCGACCTTACCAATACAAGTTTAGCATCTTTGTTCCAAAATCGAACTTATTAGTCAACCCAACAAGTCAATTGGTTGAATTTACTGGCAAGTCTCTTGGCCTTTTTGGAAAAAAGAAGATACTTCATATGACTACAACCAATCCGCAAGATATCACTCACTGGGTGAGCGTTATGGGCCCTATAGCAAATTATCAGCAACTTGTTCCTTCTAATCAGAATCCAGCTACCAATACGAATATCAACAACCACCGAGCTGATACAGCCACTCCTGTTGTCAATAATAAAGCAGGCTCCATTCAATCCAAGAAAGAAGAAGGTGAGTCGAGTGCTGATACAACACAAAAAGCCCAAAATGAGCAATCTGCAAGATTCGATGGTCAATCTCCCATTTTATCAAAGGGCCATTTAGTGGAAGAGCATGAGCCTATCGCTGAACAGCCAGATGTCTCAGCGAGCAATTCAAACATGGATGCAGTTACAGATGAGAGCCATAAAAAGGAACAAGCCCCATTAAGACAACAAAACGATGTACTTTACGATACTCACACATAAATCTAATCTTTTACGCATTTATCTAATAAATAATCATGCTAGTCAAACTTGTGAATCTTGAAAGATACTATCTGTGTATATCACTGTCCCAGTCGATGGCATATATGTGAGCAGTTGTACGACTAACTGTACTCTCTTTGCTATCTTTACTGTTGAGATTATTTGGTCTTGACAAATACTTTGGGCTATTTATGTCTGTAGTTATCTCAAGACTAACAGGCTTACGTTTTTTATATGAATCATTATAACAAATCGAGTATAATCTTACAGTATAGCAGACACTCCACTTTTTTCTATTGCATCTGATGAAAATAAGAGTACTGACAACAATAATAGCATAAATGATCATGTTGACGACATTAAATACCAGTAGCAACCATGGATTCTCTCTCCCTATAAAACGTACACGCGTCTTATTTTAAAAATACTCCTTTCTTTTGTAACAAATAATATAAATTCGCAAGATATCGACTTATTGACTCCAGCAATTATCTGAAGGACAACACTTTGGCTGTTGAACGTGATGCTCAAAAGCTCCTATAAATATTTTGCTACCTTTATTTTTTCCCTTTACTAGACCAAAAACTTTATATTAGTTCGCAAGCCAATATAATGCTGTTGAAGAAGGGTCAGACATCACCTAGCTTATTGAAGTACTTTGATCAAAGCATTCTTGATCACATGAGAGATGAAGTAGTTAGAAGATTTATATCAAATTTGATATTTTGCCTTCAGAAACTGAACAGAGGTTGATAACCATTGTGAAGATAATTCTTTTTTCGCTTAGAAAGATCAATCTTCATCAACAATCAATAATAGAACACAATGGGAAAATTCGTCAGCCCAAAGGTAGTGGAGTACAAGGCAATGGCTTGCTGCACGGAGAAAATGGATACCAGCGTGGGCGATATCATTTTTATTGTCAAAGATCTGTAAGTTTACGAAAATTACACTTCGAGCCTTGTGATCTTGGTTGTTGTAATCATTCTTTTCTTTATTTGTTTGAATTGTACAACGTAAATAAAACACAGTAATATAAAAAACTTTTTTATGATCCTTTATTTTCTTGAGTGAGAATTGATACAAACAAAGAGAAAAACCGAGAAGAAAACAGGGAGAGGAGGGCGGGAACAACCAAGATCACTTCAAGTGTAATTATGATGATACTTCATAAATTCGTACACTACAGCGAACTACACTTCGAGCTTTGTGATCTTGGTTGTTGATGAATAGATAAAAGTACAGGTTCTTTGGGATATGTAAAAGGGGTATAAAAAACGGTATCAGTAGATATGAAGAGAATTCATAATTGCAGCAGCCACGAAGTTCTTATTTCCAGATGGCAGATATGCTCTCAAAAGACGAACCAATTGTTCAGAAATTTCATTGAGCTTGTCATTATTAACTATTTCAATGGTGTTGACTTCACCAAAGAGATTCAAAACAGATTCCAATAATGATTTAACGTTGCTGCTCTTGTCAATGCTGTCATAAAGCTCTTACACTTGTTGCCGGGCTAACACCGCATTTCTGGTATTCCTTATTACAGCAGTTGCCATTATGTCAAAAAATGTTGACGCGATTTGACCGTGATTCGTTGTATTCCCATGTTTGCACAATATAAATACTGTATTTTAAAATAGGCTTTCTTTTATGAATATGGTCGAGGCGGTGTTGTAGATGATTCTGATAAAGAAGCAGCTGTGTTTATTGTAGATCCTTCCTGTTGCTTAATGAATTTGACAAACCTATATAAATATATCAAGCATAAAATACTAGCTATTATTGAAATTGAAGAGCCTGAAGATAATGATATATGCAGGAAGCTCCCGCTAAGAAGGAGAGTCTCTCAGTTTACAACGCTTAAGTAAACAAACGAGAGTCGACTGTGATATTTCTTTTTCATCCAAGGAACGCCGATGATGCCAGCTGAAGCTACCAAACTTGTTAATGTCAATTCTGAAACTGCGAGAAAATGGAAAATAGCATTCGACAATGGACCCAGAGCAAAAGATTTCTCTCAAAAAGACTAATCGTACGTCAAATCAAACTTTCAAGTTAATTGAATGAGCAACACAAAACATATCTGGCGAACTTTTTTTTTTATGAAAATTCCTCAGCCGTAATACAAGATACGATTAATAGCCTGATAACGATGAACACTACGCGCACAAGGAAATTCATGAGAAGACTAATGCTATGGGTGCTTCCTTGGGGCGCTACCTATGCTGTCGCTTTACAGCTTCACGCTACCAAAGCCTCTAACTAGCCTAAGACTTTCCAATGGGATATCCGTTGATATAAAATTACTCTTGAATGACCTTGATTCTTTGTTGATCAAACTGACAGCATAAAAAAATTAAAATACAGTAACAACCACATTTTATCTCTTTCTTTTTGAGGCTTTATAAAAGTCATATTCTATGCCAAGGAACATGGAAAGGCGTCTGTTCTCTGAACAAGTTTAGCTTGACACTGTTCACGTAGACGCTTCAGATATCGCTTGGGACGTGGCATCACAGGAAGTCGAAAAAACGGGGTATTGGACCGAAGAAGAAAGAAGTCATTCTATAAATGTCAGAGAATTACCGGCAATTATGTTCGCTCTACAATTGCATGCAAAAAAATACCAAGGTTCCATCATAAAGCTGTACACGCACAATATCACCGCTCTAAAGTTCGTTACAAAATCCGGCGGTACATCTTCAACACTATTACAAGACTTAGCAGTAAGAATTCAGGACATTTGCAACCAGTACCAACTTCGAGTAGAATACCAACATATACCGGGAATCAAGAACATTCAAGCGAACTAACTCAGCCGACGACGAATGGAGAATCCCTTGTATGAAGCGAAGATCTCCAGACATATCTTCCACAGAATCAACAAAATTTAGGGACTACTAACAATAGATGTATTCGTCTCACGACACAATCATCAGCTACCACAATTTTGGAATCTCAGAACCGACCCAGAAGCAACAGCATTGGATGCATTCAGACAAATCTGGATGAAAAAAGGGATATATCTGTTTCCTCTGTGGAGATTTATCCCTCAAATAATACAACAATTGAGGCGACAGAAGATACAAGATGCGGTAATGATCACACCGTGATGGACCACGCAACATTGGTTTCCAATGATTATGAAGATGAAGCAGTTATCGCAACCAATAACATTCAACCTAAACAATTGGGAGATGGTCGCCTGGCACTTATCCGGGACAAAAGAAAGGACCAAGGCATGAACACTGATGAAATAGAGTTTATAACCATGGCTGGAGAAAATGGGTGACGTGGTGCAATAATCAACAACCAAAAATCAATCCTGAAAGATACGATCCAGGTAAAATAGTGGTGTTTGTCGGAATTTTAATTGTTTTTCGAAATTTCAACAATAAGCCCCAACTGTCGAGTTAAAAAGAAATGAACCATACATTTACATAGAATTACGCAAATGCAATAAAAATATTACTCATTGTCACACTATCGATCCTTTCAAATGCACTTTTTTTAAAAATTCTCCAGCCTGCCTGGGGTGAATCCTATTTTACTCTGGATCGTCACTGACAATAAGGCGATGAAGTTGGCTCGCACTTAGTGTAGACAAAAGTTCATGTGTGGGAGTTGCAAAAATTAGGATTTCTCTAGTGATTCAAAAGCACTATATGTAGGCCATGCATGACAAGAAAATTATGATATCGTAAAAAGAAATGACAAGTAAAAAATATAATGGTTACTTTGAGTGGTTGTTTACTTTCAAATACTAATACGTGCCATTAAAACTAGTCTGATTTTTTTGGGGGCAATTTAGCCTCACACAAATGACCATAATTATTCAAAAAAGTGGGTAGAGTTTTCAAACATCTGGTAAATTGAGGGTGAAAGCACAATACTCAGAGCAATATGACTGCAACTTATATCTATATGATTGTAACAGATGTCACAAAATGCTGACTATTTTATAAGGAAAAAAGAGAATTGATCAAAGTTGAACTATGTGGTATCAAGGAGTGTTTAGACAATACATAAGGTACAAGTTACAAGAAATACAAGTTGACGCGCACAAATTAGAGTATATATATATATATATAACATGCAATTGCTTTATTTACAATGGGAATATAAAGAAGGATATAGTTATTTACGAGAAGATGAAGGCTTTTTAAACACTTCATCTTTCTTAAAAGGATGATGACCGTTGAAATAGTCGTGCATAAGATCATTATACTCCGCTTGGCCAGAGACTTGATAAAAGAGATCAGGATCTCTACTCCATTCTGGGTTTGGATCTTGAGTCAGTTCTCCAACAGTTCGTTCGCTAAGCTGAGTGTTTCTAGGCACCAGGATATCTTCAAAACGACCATCAGTCATTATGTCGTCAATTGTTGTGTGCAAAGGCAAATCATTGATATGGCGAATGAATGCTATTGCACGATCAATGCTGTAAGGTGGGCCATCAGTTTGTGTTTCGCTATGAACACTGCGGGAAGGAGACGCGTGCACAGTACGCCTGGGAATTTTGCGTGCACTGGCGTCGGTGGCCTTGGCAACGACGGAGCCAGAAATAGCAGTGGCGGAAGCAAGAGAGGAAGACGTAACAAAGGAACGAGCAGCAGAAGCAGATGTAACAGAAGCAGAAACATCAGAGGCAGGAGCAGCAGTGGGTGCAGAAACACCGGAAGCGAAAGCAGCGGAGGCAGAGCGTAATCCGAGAGGATCATCTGTGGTAGGCTTGGAAGAAGCATCGCTTATATGGGTAAGACTTGTATGAAGACTACTGGTATCGTCTGATGACTGGGATACTCTCTGCTTTTTTGCGGATCTTCCAGCAGAAGATGGGGCTTTGTCATCAGTAGAAGATGTAGCCATAGCATTACTTGAGCAGGAAGAAACAGCAGGTAGTCTGAGCTCAACATCTTGAAGAGAGCTCTTGAAAAGCTTTCTTATGAAGGGCCTAGAAGCCAAAAGAGGTGTAGTGCCTTGCTTCATTGAAGAGGAAGTCGTCTCACTACTGGTAATTTCTTCAATCTTGCGTTTTGAAGGCTGAGCGGGAGCGGAGGAAGGAGGAGGGCCAAGTCTTGTAAGATCGAAGATCTCCAAATGCTCATTCGTAAAGGAATCACGAGAGGCCAGAGGAGCCTTGTTTGGGGAAGGCTTTGTTGGAGCTACGACCTGCGTGATCTGCTTTGTGTTGCTTTCTTGCTTCTTGCTTCTAAGAGGCTGTGCCTGCCCTTTTAACTTTAAGAGCCTTTCTCCAGTAAGCCTTTCTCTACTTACGCTTAATTTTGTCGTCTTAGACGGCTTAAGCTTCATTGGTTTCTAAAAGAGCGATTAGTGAATGAACTTGTACATTGCACGTCTTGATCATTACTTTTTGAAGGTGCGGTTCCTTTTTGCGATCAGCATCTTTCTTGCGTTGTTGAGAGCTAATGACATGAGTCAATGACAAGCAATGGAGAGCATATAAATCTTGAGCTTACCTTGCGGTATCCTTCTGATAGCTTTTCATTTTATATAAAAAGCCTAAAGTAAAGAGTGAAAGAGAGGAGGGGGGGAAGAAGCCAGCTTCTTATATAAAGAAAGATGAGATAGTTGAAAAAGGCAGGTTACAAAATTGTAAAGTCACACGAACGTTCGTAAGCCTAAAAAATAAAAGTAGAAATGGTCTTACCAAAATGCTTTAGTCACCCCCTGAATCAATTATGCTTGAAATTGTAAAATAATCTACGCTATGTTATGATCTATTTCATACCACGTCAAACAGCTCTTCAAGGCCACATAATAAGAATATAAAGTAAAAGACAACAAAGAAGCGTAGTTTTTTTTTTTCTTTTTTTGGACCTTCTTCTTGAGCAGTTAGCCTAAAGTCATTATTTTCATGTGAATCCAGTTCTTCAAATGTTAATCTCACAATAGATCCCATACTTTTTTTAATTCTTCATGGGTTCATCTTTGGTTGTTTATTATTGACATGGAATCTTGAAGCTACATTATTTAGTTTTATGAATAAAAGACAGAGTCATGACGTTATGTACTTGCTCAGGTATATCTGAGGTAATGAGATGACTACACGGGATGTATGGCATTCAGCAATTATGATATCAAAAAAAAAAAAAAAAAAATAGGAGCTGATAACCAGTTTGGCGGATCTGATATAAAAATAGAGTTTTCATTTTGCTTGAAATGGTTTTTTGATTAACTTTTCCATATGATAACGATGCTTTTTTTTTCATAAGCGCCTATGGTGCTAATAGAGAGAGTATGAAGAATGAGTATCGCGTCATATTTGACCGTACCTAGTAATGGCCTCTACTTTTGAAAGAGAGAGTATATTTGATGCGTCTTTTTATTGTGTCTTGCTTTGTACTCCTAGTGTATTGTTTTCATGAATTATGATTTATGTCATCCACTCTTGACAAAAGGCACAGGTTTACACATCCAAAAAACGCATAGATCAAGTGTTCTCATTCCGTTGATCAAATATTTTGGATGACCTTTATTACACAGATTTTATTAGTTTATTAGCTCGTATGAACAAAATATAGACAATATAGATAAAGAAGCATTCTGTATTAAGGATATCAAGCTTAAGGCAAGCACATCTTTCATTGCTTTAGTGAAAACGAATAAAGAAATTCGCGGGCCCCAGTTTTATTTTTAGTTGTAGATATAGACCTCAAGCTATAATTTGGCAGCGATTCTCTCTCTCTCTCTCTTTTTTTTTTTTTTTTGGCTAGTGTGTGAATTTTTTAGTTCTTTTGTGCGTCTAAAAAAACCGACGATATCTTAGGCTGCCTGCCGAGAAATGAAATAAGGGTTGTTTTTTTATGGGAGTCAAAATTAGCTTTCATGTGTTAATAACACACACACACACACACACACAGAGTTCAGATCATGGATACATTAGATGCCACGGATGGAATCTTTTATTGAGTAATGAACGACAGATAAGAGATACCGCTTGATAACCATTTGATACAGAGTTCATCCTTTCTATCTTCGGAGTAATTCCGAAGCATGAATAAACCCTAAATGAGTTCAAAATAACAAAGGATGAGAAGAGAGGGGATCACAATTTTTGAAGCAGAAAGATAATGATTTTTATCAAAGCTGAGCCCAAATTAGCTGCTTGCCTTTAGCATCAACGGCCATTTCATATCATGGCTACAGGTAATCATTTTCAGCTGAGATCGACTCTAATATTTGACATTAAACACAGTATGCTGAGATCCTTATGAATCATGAAAAGACCATAGGCATTGTCAGATGGACAATAGTTGTCATTATTATCATACCTTATTAGACTGAAGATTAGTAAAATATAGAGAAATGACGTTGAATAGAAGCTATAATACATAGCATGTCTATATTCAATGATGCTGCACATTTAGTAGTAACAAGTATTGAACAGTAATTGCAAGAAAGAAAGAAAAACCTACGCAAGCAGACTACCTAGAAATGTGAACCATACGGACCCTTAGTTCTAACTGAACTATGCCAACGGCTCTCTTGACGACACCTAATGGGTTTGAAGAGTAACTACATATGGTATTAGCTAATTCGAAATCATTGCTCAGATCAGTCGTTGGCATTCTTATTATGAGGCATTTTTTGAAATTATTTTCATTTTGGTAGCGTGATCTCATCAACCTCTGTTACCGCTCCTACTACCGCTTCTGTTGTAATTCTTGCTACATCATGAAGCAGCACAAAAAAAAAAAAAAAAAAACTCCATTCATCTTTTGCAGAAACAAATTACATCTCTTTGCTGTCTTTACTTTATATTCTTGTTATGTGAACTTGATGTGATGTGAATCAGGTCATAAGTAAATGTAGCCTATAATAACTACATTAAAATATTTCACACTTGCAAGCATAATAAACCCAGCGTCATTTTATTTGGATTTAGGAATGTTGGCGTGTCTTTACAAGCTCGCAAACTTAACTATAAAGCCTTGGTCTCATCTCCTCCCTGTTTTTTTCTTAAGGCTCTTGATGTTTAAAAAAAAAATACAGCCTTTCAAAATTAATAGAGAATGGAAGAAACATACAATTTATTACAAAGAATGTTGCCTGTAGAAGAACAGGCTAATACAAGACAGAGTGAAGGTAGCAGAGATCATAAGTGAAGCAAAAGCCATGAAAGCAAAACCAAAAAGCACAAGAGATCTACAAGAGGTATTTAGAGTGCCAAAGTCAACAGGGTATACCTGACACGATATGCCTGACAAAGAATTCATGAGAAGCAGCTATCAGGGAATAATGGTACGGAGAAAGAAAAAAAAGATACTTACACTGCACCTGCTGAAGCCAGGCTTTTTGCTGCCAGTCAAAGTGCAATCTCTCCTCAACTCTTTTTTTTTTTTTTTTTTGGAAGAAACTAAAACCTATACCTAGAAAGAGAGGTTAGGAGTCAGTGATTAGCGCGTTTATTTGGAAGCCTTGAGCAGCTAATCGATACCTGGTAACAGAGAATAAAGAGTTAGTAAGTGCAAAGGAGAGCAGAAGAGCTGATAGTCGGACACCATGAATTCTTGGTCGCTTGAGGAAAAAAAAAAAATGAGTAAAAGTTCCAAACATAGAATGATGGTTACTTATGTCAACGGTTTACAAGATAAATAATGAAAAGACGTGTAGGTGTCTTTCATAAATAGCTTCTTGGTATAAAAGAGAAGGTAATATAAAAAAAAAGGGGGGGGG